ACTGCGCTTCTTAGATCTGGCCTCGTGGGCCCGGCTTCGGAAGAGCAATTTCTTCTTGAGTTTCCAGACTTCTTTGGCCAAAGAAGAGTTGACAGTTGCTCGCGGAGATTTTTCCAGTCCTGATGAGAAGCGTTTGCTCGCTGTCAAGGCCTTGCTTGACAATGAGCATTTGGAGAAGGGCGAGAAAGATGAGCTGCAGATCGCCCAAGCTGCTTTTGGCAGCGTGCCCATGTCACAGAAAGTTCTTTACATGCTGCAAGATTCCAACCGCCTAGAATCTTTGCAGAGATGGTTCCCGGAGAACGTGCCTGCTAGCAATCACTGCGTACTATTTCTTTCTATTGTTCTTTTTTCCCCAAACTGTTTACTGTTCGGGTTCTATCTTAGAAAACAAAGAGCTGGCCACACTCACTGGCCGCGCCCCTGAACTCTATGGATGGGCTCTGTGGCCCGGCTCTGTGTCTGGGTCTTGTCCTTGTCTTGGCCGCACCCCTGAACTCTGTTGCTGGTCTCTGTGGCCCGGTTTTCTCATCCGGAGTGTCGCCGAAATAACGATGTCAATGTCGACAAGAATCATTGATGAAGCAGTTTGCTCTTGGGATGGGGTCTATGCTTGTATAATTTAGTGGTTTATCTCCCACCAAACAAGTGCCCAAGCTCGGCCAAGGTGCTGGCTTCTCCGCCGAAGCAGCTCGGCGCATGGGTGCTCCTGGCCCTCCGGATGTTTATGGACAAGAACACGGTCTGGAAAGAAATTCCAGTGAACCAGCTTTTGCATGGTGCTGCCTTGGTACGCCGTGACCCAGAAGCCTTGAAGCATGTCTCGAACAGCGTTGCCAAGTCGTTGTTGCATCAGTATGAGAAGCTGATGGTGATCGGCGCCAGTGAGCCCCTTCTTTCGGCCCTTGCCAAGCGTATCTTTGTCGATTTGAGTTCATTGAAACTAGGCGTGGACATCACAGGTTACACCGAGATCTCTTATGATGATTTCAAAGAAGAGCATTCGGATTCCCTGCAGAAGTTGGCCGCCTCTATCCCACCGAAGGTGGCTCTAGGGAAGTTTTTGTTTCGAAATAGCTGGACAAGTTTAAAGGTTCTCTTTTGGCATCAGTCACGCTGTCCTAATCACGGGTGATATAGGGCCACGTTGAATCGGTTGGGCGCAGGACTTGGACCGAGAGATCCCTTCCTTGCAGTTCTTGTCGAAGTACAAGCCGGCGTCTGACAACTCCACGCCGCCCAGTGCAAAAGACGCCTTGGCAAAGAAAGAGGATAAGGAGACAGCCCCTGCAGCTCCGACCAAGCTGCCGACAGGAATTCACTCTCCTTCTCCGACGGTGGCCATAGTGATTGGGGATAAGGCCCTTTCTGGGAACAACCGAAACACGCAGAGGTTTCGTTTCCAAACTTGTTGAGTCCAGTTATTGCCTAAAAAGATCACGTTCTCTTTCGAAAGATTTTCCCAATCTCCTGGAGAGGTCCGCACAAAGGCCACGAAGCAAAAGGATTTCTACAATGACAAGTTGGCCACGGTTGTCAATGTGCTCGCCAATGACAACTTCAAAGTGCTCTTGGAAGAGGGCGAGAAGAAAGGTGAAAAGCGAAAGTATGAAGGCCGCTTTCTCACCAAAGTTGATCCGGAGCCAGCTGCTGAGCAGCCTGAAGGCAGTGAGCTTGACGCAAAGCGTCAAAAAGCTCTCGATCTGTTGGGAGATGCAGATGACATCTAGTGGCCATTTTCCCCACCGGCCCACAGACAGGTACAACCAGCTTTTCCAGCCAAAAGAGTGGTCGCGTCAGGAAGGGGTCCATGAGCACGCTAATAGGCACTAATGCACGCTAATGCACATTGTGCTGCTTCCTATGAGGCCAGTAGCAATTGCTACCTAAGTTCATCTCTTCTGGAAGCACCACCTATATAATACAAGTTTTTAATAGCTTAGATGCGAACATGCTTTCCAAAATCATCCCAATGTGCATAATCATCAAAATCCGCCCGCACCGAAGGTGCTGGGGCGTGTGTACCCGGATGGCATAGTTAATCGCAGGCCATTTTTCGGGCAAGAAGCCCGGGTTTTTTAAAGGTTGTTGAACATCGAATGCAAAGAACGTCGTAAATAACGGCATTTGATGAAGGTTTTGGGATTTTGGGACACGCAAAATTTTGAGGCGTTCTTGAAAAGTTAAAAGTACCCTTGGGTTTTTGAAGATTTGGTCAAAAATAGCCAGGTACAACCGGCATTTACAGACATCAGCGGCTTCATGGTAGCTGGCTAGGGATTCGTATTAGACAGGTAGAGCCGGGACGGTGGGACACCAGTACACTGCCCTGCTGACATCACGGCAAACTAGGAAAGCAAGGTTTCCAACGCACGGGGATTCCGAGTAGCACCCCGGTCTCTATGACATCGCGACCTATACACTTAGATTTTCCCACCTGTGGAAAGAAGAAGAAACACGGTTTTCTACAATATGTTCGAAGTGTATGTCTTACAGTATAATTACAATCTCAGCCAACAAACAATTGCAAAAAAGCAAAGGACATAGCACTATAAATTTTACATAAAGGTGTCAATATATATATATATATAGATACAGTATATATATATATATGTATATCGATGTCATGATGACAATTTAAAGTCAATGGAAGTAGGTTTTCATTGTTTTGCCTCACAGGGCGCAGCTTACATTAACAAAGTTCAGCTTAGAAACCTGCCGTTACCTTTCTTGGCATCCGCCGTTACGTTTCGGACGAGGCGGTTGGGTCCAACGATGCAAGCCTGCGCTGAAAGCCCTATTGGCCCGTGGGGCAGTGCTGGGGAGCCATTCCCTTCAATCGCGGCTGCTCAAACGTGTCTGGGGTTGAAGGAAGGGCTGAAAGAACCCAGAAGCTGTGCTTTGGTCGTGTTGTCGGGGGTTCAGGTATATACGCTATGACTGATATGACTTGGTATAAGACCAAGCGCCACAATGGTATGGTGAATTTGGGAGTTCAATTTAGGTTTGCAGGCGTATTTTTCATCGCACCTCAGCTCGGGAAATCTCACCGACTGAAGGACTGAAGGGTGCAAGGGCCGCCGGCCGGGCCAGAAAAGACCACCAATCCTTTCCCCCTGTGGAAGACTGCAATTTACTCAAAGTCATGCAACGAAATGACCGTCACCAAATCTAGGGATTCTATGGGGATCTTCTTTTGAAGGGTGCCCCAGCATTATATTTTATTTTATTTTTCTCTCTCTCTCTCTCTCTCTGTGAAGGACCCCCCTCTGAGATCCTCTGAGGTCAATTACTGTAGTTTTTGGTCTCTGGAAGAATCCGTAAGACGAAAGAGTCCAAACATTCAACCGATCCGATCCGGTCGAGGGCCCCGCTCGCGAGGCCTGGAAGAGGACGGCATGGCGCTCTGGGTCCAGCGCGTCTTGGAGGCGTTGCGACGGCAGAGACCCGAACTGCCTGAGGCGGTGCTTCAGAAGATCCGGGAGTTCACGTGAATGGCGTGAGTTTCGTCGTTTCCTTTTTTTTGGGGGGGAGAAAGGAAGGGGGTAAGTACGTTTTGGGTGGGAGTTTGCGAGTGCTGCCAGTGAATTTTCAGGGCGTGAGGAAGTGAGCAGTGCCTGGTTTGGACTCATTCCTCTTATAGGTCTTTCCCGTATCGACCCAACCTGTTTGAAGGCTTCAGGACCAACTCACGTGACCATTGGATCACTGGGAGGCCGTCCAGATGCGAGAAGGTTTAGGAATTTGTGTGACTCATCTCAATGGGGAAATGCATTGGATTCTGTTTCTATCACAAATTGAGGAATCCGGTGTAAATGCTTATGGATGGCGACCCCAGAATCCGCCGGCAGAGCCCGGCAGCAAAGCTGATGGAAGATGCCATAGGACTGTTTTGACAACTGCGACCTGTGGTAAAAAGGAAGCTGTTGGCGGACAAGGTGGAGATAGGATGACATAAGTAGAGAACTTCTGCTTTTGGTGTTGAATTGCCGTGGCTTGGGATAACCATCCAATGAGGAAAGCAACTTGCCCACCAACAGCAGTTGTACATTCTGCTCCCAGTCTCCCACTGCTGGCGTCCCACAATCATTCCTGAGGTCAAAGAGGCATGACATATTTAATATCAAACATCAACCGAGAAGGACAAAGACATGTGACATGTGTATATGTACGTTTATTGGGCTGTTGACTGCCAGAAAAAACCAGAAGCTTCCAACCAAACCGTGGACACCTGCTGCTTTGTTGTCCAACCACTCATTGAATCCAAAGAACTGTGACCCCGTGGCTTCCCGCTGGTGAGACTGAGCTTCGCTGCCCGAACAGCTCAGCTGTGTTTTTTCCCCAGCTGCGACTGCAGTGACCTGCAGAGGTTTGAAGCAGACCAAAGGAGTTCAAATCAAGACACCTTGGAAAGAGAGATGAAGATGGTCTCTGGCTTGGAGGGAAGAGAACACTCTCCTTCCGCAACCAGCAGCATTTTTTGGGTCGAACGTTTTTTGGTTGTTGCCCTCATGTGTTCCAACTTGTAGCTTTCAACCTTTGCTTTGATTCCTGAGACGAGTTCAGCGCGGCCCCACAAAGCTGGGGGGCCGCAATGGCATGTCGAGAGGATAGGTGAAAAGCGGTTTGCATGGGTGCCATTGGTTGGGGGCAGTGTGCGGCCAGATGATGGGCAAGTGGGTCTAGAATCACTTGCGATTAGTCAGCAATGTTCCGCTTAGCCGCTTAGGACTTGAGATACTTGAGGGAATTTAGCTCATTTCGGGAAGCCAATCTCAGCTTTGCCTCCCTGATCTCCACCGAAAAGGACCGTTGGTGCAGTCTTTTGTCTTGAAAACAGATGCTTATGAGTTGGCTGAATGATCCAGCTCAAGTGATGTGGGAGCAGTCTTTGGTTCGGAACTACACATCCGCCACACATTTGAACTCTGTGATTACACACAGGAAACTCCCCGGATCCCTGGCCGCGGCCGCCGCGCACACGTGGTCGCCCGCTCCAGGGCTTCCGGGTCTCCTTCGCCAGTGGCACGTCGTCGCCTAGCTACGCTTGCGCCGGGGGCGGCTCCATCCCCCTAAGCCGTGGCTGCTTCAAGGCGAAGTTCCAGGTGTGGCATCTTCGGGGGTGGCAGATGGGGTAGGCTATGGCTATGGCTGGGGTAGGCCGGGAGACGAGGCCCAAGTCGAAAGCCGAGCCTGCAAAGTCTTGTGGGCATTTAGAGGGGATCGCGTACGTTGAAGGAGTTCTTGACCTTGACAGGGAGTCAAAGAGCTACAAGAAGTTCTCTACCCACTTGCCAGAAGAAGCTTTGCCCGCCCCTCTTATGGCTGTGGAGATGAGTGAGAGGTGCCTTCCGCGGGCAATAGCAGCTTTGCTGAGGTGAGCCGAGGAATGGGCGTTGCTGCGCGATGCGTCGCTCGAACTGGACGGGAAAAGATGTCAAGAGAACCTGTTGCAAAAGCATCGGTGCCTTCTGAATTCTCAATGCCTTCCAAATCCCCACCCGCCATCCCAGCTAGCATTTCACTGGGTGTCTCTGCCGGGAGTCACTGACCCACTGGTGAGTTCACGGACTCGATCCTTGTTCCGGTGGAGGTGCTCCTTCCCTGGAGCGCCTTTAGCGACAAATGGAGCCCGGCCACCGGTGAGCAGACCTCCACCTGCGCAGAGGAAACATGAGCCGGTGAGCGCACGGGGTCCGTTGGCCGCAGAGGTGTTGGTGACATGAAGCAAACATGGTAAAATCAAAACAATGTAAAACACATGTAAACCAAAGTAAAACTAGTTAGGAGCAGATTGATACATCATAGATGTTGCATGATGTCGCAATGTGTGCGTGAGCTTGTGTTGGTCTTTATAGTTTCCGTTTCGTGGAGCTTGGGAAGGTCGTTTTAGCATGAAGTGCAGGACCCGAGCGTTTGCGTGAGCGCATCGACCTTGTCCAAGATCCGGCGTGTGGAGCTTTGGGCCGAGGGGGCGCTGGGGAAAGTGCACCTAGAGGCAGGGCTTCGATGGCATCTGAGATGAGGTCATCAAGAGAGTGAACTCGGGTCACCACCATGGGGCTGTTCAACATGGGAACGAGGCTTCAGATCCATATTTTTAGGAGACAAGTCACCATGGAAGGGTCGAAGTGGGCAAATGAAGGCGATCCGGCGATGCGTGCTTTTGTCCACTGAATCATCCGTTTTTGTGGGCCTTAGCTTTAGCTTCCACAATTCAGACACGAGACCAGACGTTTGAGTCCAGGTACCAAGCTTAGATCTGGGGTGGGTTCCACTTTATAGTAATCCCCAAATAGATAGTGGCACGGTTTCCAATACATTTTTGGTGGGGATCTACGAACTATCTGTCTATGACAGGTCTATATACAGAGAATCTCCTCCACCGCGAGGTGAAGTCCATCGTGGCCCGTCCAGATCAGCTGGCGCTGGGTGGTGTGCCCTCTCAGTATGATGGATGCGGCAAACCGGTGCAGAGGAAGCTTCGCTACAACGTCTCCAGCCGGAAGGAGCGAACGTGGAAGAACTGGGAAGATGGCTGTGATGAGAACTGGGTTAACTGCTCAAGAGCTGACGAAAACACACCAGGTGAAGGAGTTATGAAGTGGTTCTGACAAAGACGACGGACTGGTTGTGAAGGACTTGTACGAAAGAGGACCAGTGATGCGGGCAGGTCTGATGGTTGCTGTGGATCATACACAAAGTGTTTTGAGCGCTGCTGCTGGTGTCAATGCTGATCAAGATTTGAATCCAAGGTTCTTTGGCTTCTGTTCTCGTTCCGTTCGGTTCTAAACATTGTATGTATATATATATACATACATATCATTTGTGCCGTGGCCAACCGCTGGACCTGGAGCTTTGTGCACATGACAAGTTGTCCTATGTGATTAAAGTAGATCAAGATCCAGTGTGTTCCATTTTTTGTTTTTGTTTTTTCACCAAATCGCCTCAAGACAACTTGCTCCAATTTCCTAAGATACCACCGATTGTACTTGTTGTGATCTCAAGATCGATCGAGCCACCACCACGTTTTGCGAACTCAGTCTCAAACGAGTGGACCCCGTTGCGGAAACTTGAGATGTGGGCGTTCATTAGCAAAGGATAGAATAGGCTGGGGATGAACGGAATACAGATATACACTATATACAGTACTTAGTAGCCGCCATGTAACACATGTAGTTCCCAGGACCAGGCAACCTGGGCGACCTCTTCTCCCTTCGGTGTCCACCGCTAGGAGCCCACCGTGCCAGTGCCTGTGGACCCCTCCGAGAGCCTGGCGGAGGCGGTGTGCTGCGACACCCGCACCAAGGCACGATACTGGGGACAGCGATGCACGCACCCCGGGTGCACCCCGGGTGCACCCCGGGTGCGTGGGGTGACCAGTGCTCCGTGGGTCAGTCTGGTGGGTCAGTTGGTCAGCGACATGCCAAAACCTTTGTGACAGCGACATCTGAGTCAGACAGGTTACTTTTGAACACCTCCCAACTGATAGATTTGGTCTTGGCATGACGTGTCACTGTCGGTTTGGAAGAGTCATTGGCACACCATCTCTTAATTGCCTGTGCCGCGTTTGTAAGTGGAGTGCCATTTCTCACACATATATATATATATAGTTTTAGCACCTGACAGAGGAATCCCAGTCTTGGGTGTTGAGCTGATGAACCTGCAGCGCCACGTGTTCATATGGGGCTTAAAAAAGGGCAGCCGAAACTCTATTCAAAGACCAAACTTGATATTGTCATTCAGGCACAGCCAGGTCAAAGGTCTAATCACAGTCTTGCAGAGTACCGGACCCTTTGGTGGAGATTCAAATGGCCTTTGGGAGGTCTATGCCGAGCCGCAATTCCTGTACCAGGCCGTGAGAGCCTGTTGCTGGTCGCCATGTAGCAGTGGCAGCAGCAGCTGGCAGCCATCGAATTAAATGCAGTGTTTTTCAGTCTAGTTGGAGGCCCCCACAAGAGTCATAAGGGAGTTTCAATCAAAGATGATCAAAGGTTCTGAGGCTGTTCCGTGCGTGCGGCTGAGGATCCTGAAGTCGAAGCATCCAGTGTGTGACAAGCCAGACATGGCTTACGGTTAGGGAAGTTCCGAGCCGGTGTTAGTCTATAGACTCTGTAGAACTCCAACAAAGGGACCAATTCTGGGGTCTCACCATTTTGATGACCACAATATTGTAGAACTCCTTTTATACTCCGACTGTATGATGTCCACATGGAATGGGCATGGACCGGCCATGTTGCAGAAGAAACTGGTATGCGCATTTCTGCTTCCTTCCTCCCCTTCATCGCTGCCCCAGCAGCGGGGCAGGCTCCAGATATTGCGCTCTTCAAGAGCTTGGAGGGAGTCACCACTTTCTATGACTCTGTTTGCGGGCTACCACTCTTCAAAGCGCCAGTAAACAGGCGCACAACGGGGGTGAGGGCACCGGCCTGGGATCAGAGGGGTCGCCGATGTGGCGGTGGCGCAGTGGGACAACTCTTGCAGTATTGAAGGCAAGGCGGATCTTTCATGGACAATTAGTTGTTTGGGTCTAATCGGCAATTTGGGGCCTCAAAAGTGGATGGGGGATTGCTTTTGATGCGCGAGGCGGTGAGGCCGATACTTTCAACAGACACGTCCCACCCAGAAGCCTCCAAGATCGGCGGTCGAAGGGTTTCTGGACACCGCACTGGACACCCAGAAGCCTTGGCTCCGGCCGTTTCAGGAGCATGGCGGACTTCAAGGCTGATACGGATGAACATGGCTGGCCATCGTTTCGCAAGGACCGGATGCATCTTGAACTCAAAATTCATCCGAAGCATTCATCCATTCAGTAATTACACAAAGCCCACCGGGATCGGACGTTTGGGACACAGTATACAATATTCATGCTAATATGTATACGACCTTTTTTCAATCTTTTTCCAGCATGTAGTACACAGGGCATGCATGTCCAAGGCATGTCAAGGACCGATCTCAAAACATGGTTTCCCGTGGCCGGTCGGCAGGATTTACTCACCCGGAGTCAGAGTTTTTTGCCCACAGCGGCGAGACCGCTCGTCCTTGTGACTTGGAAGGTGAGAAGATCTCAAGACCCTTCATGCAAGTTCTGGCAAGTCTGGACTAAGACAAAAGACTGGTAGACTCTGATCATCTCTTGTGAACTCTGGTGTTTTGGAATATTTTGGAGGATGACCAGGTCATTTGGTCTATGTAGGACCAGAAAAGACCTCAGTTCTTTCGGTTCTTCGACGTCGCATGGGGTTGGTCGCTTCGCAGGAGGAGGTCTTCTCAGAGCACGTGAAGGTGGACAAGGAGTGAAGTCCGTCGGCCGAACTGGGTGTCCGAGCAGCGAGCGTGGGGCTGAGGGGGAGCGGCCGCAGGAGGCATTGGGGAATGTTGATATTAGAATCAGTGGTTTGAGTGCCGGCAGTTCTTTCCTCCTTTCTGCAGGTTTGAAGTCTTGAGCATGATCGATTCAGCGAAAGAGTGGGTGACCTCGTGATTTTTCGGACGATCTTGTGCACCCCAGGAACCTTTCTCGATCTTTTCAACGTTGAAAGGGATTTGGAGACAATTGAAAAAACGCGTCGAATTGTGAGTTCCTCATCTGCAGTACGTAATTTGGGCCATGATGGGTGGGGCACCTTGAGCCAAATCCTGATCTGGGGTTCAGCATGGGTCAACACATTCCAGAGAAGCAGCCTGGGTTACAGATTCAGCCGAGGTAGTTGGACATTGGCAGTTGGGCGCAGCCTAGACGTTCCACACACACACATATGCATTGTTGCACTGAATTTCTGCGTTGTGGTCACAGCAACCGCCGGCTGCTTCTGACAGCGTTTTCAAAACGCTGCGCCAGGATGGCTTTGTGTATTCCTCTTGCGGCACACATCTGGGGAGCTACTTGCCCGATGCTGCGGGGCCGCGCTACTGCATGGATTTGTCCTGCATTGCAGGCAACCCAGTGGACTTCGTGGTCTAGAGGAATTGGTCTCTTTCGCCAGACAGGGGACACCGACAGCTTGGAAAAAAGGTCAATGAGTTCACCGTTCACCTTTTGTTGTTTGAGAGTGGTGGTCCCGGCGTCCCCTGCGAGACATGCAACAGACTGAACAGAGGAACAGGGTCCAGATTTCTTGGAAGTCAGTCTTCAATGTAGCGTAGGGCACAAAAACTCAAGATGGTAGGGCACAAAACTGTCGAGGTAGGGGAGGCGCCTTTTGGCAATCCCGCCGCCATTTCTTGTTGTAATCCTTTGTGGCCACCAAAAACGAAGTGTGACAAGACTTGCTTCCAGAGCCGATCACGCAGTACAGGCCAGGTGGTTTACTTGGGACTGCCTCGAGAGTCCCCAAGTCTCAACATTTGGAGTGACATCTCGGTGTGATTGGTGCCATTTTCGGTCGGAGCACCTGGGTACAGGCCCAGCTCGTGGGGCGAGACCTGCCCGTGGGGCGGTCCTTCGACAAGCTTCGGCTGGGCGTCCAGGGAAACTCCGGCCACGGCGAAAGCCTCAAAAAGGTGCGACCGCGTCTCTGGATCACGGCTTGAGCTGTCGTACTACAGTCATCCTAGCTGGATGAGAACCCGGATCCACGAACCGAACGTGAACCATGAAGAGACAACGTGGAAAAAATTCATGAGACCCTGGCTGAAGACTGGCTGAAGAGACAACGTGGACTCACCGATTGGTTGGATGAGATTATGTCTTAGGTTGTCCTCCACGCAAGCAACACATCTTTACAGCCGGAACTGCCCGATTCGCAACGATCCAAAACGGCATCCGAAGCAGTGCGGGTCTTTTCAAACCACTGTAATACCATCCAAAAGCCACCAACTCTAAGAAAAGAACATGTTATTTTTTTCCATTGGTTTTGGAAGATGTAGGATTAGTGCAACCCATTTTCCGACTCCGTTGAGGCCCTGGTCATATGTTTGTATTGCTTTTTTCTATTCCCTTTCTTTCAGATCTTGGCAACCACCCACCCGCCCGATCCCCGCTCCCCCCGCTCCGCCCCGCCCCGCTCCCCCGAGGCGTCTCGGCCTCGCCGAGCGCGTCCTCGCCGGGCGCCTCGCCGGGCGCGTCCAGCTGTGCGAAGAGCGTCGTGCTGAGCCCACAAGAAGCCGAAGAGCAGGCGAGCGACGACTGCTCGCTCCGAGCTCGGTGTGCTGTTTGGGGGGAGCGAGTGTTGTTTTTCTTCCACTCCGCACACGGAGTGGCCATTCCTTCTCATTTGTTTTTCTTTTTGGGCAGTCATGGCAGTCATACAGAGGCTGTTTTGGGGATGGTTGGAGTGTTCAAGTCGATGGTGGTGAGGGGGCCTGGAGAGCTTTGCTGGAGTGAGTACCTGGACCTACACGTCAATCCCTCACAATCCCTCCCAATCTATCGTCAATCCACCCGACTGCCTAGCGAGATTCACCTTGTGTGTCTGACGTGCACGCGAGACTGAGCAGGACCTGCAAAGCATCATCTCAGACTTGGAGAAGCAGTTGGCAGCCGCCAACGAGCGCTCAGAGGCGGAATCTTATTCAACACGTTTTTTCATTTTCATGGATTTCCTGCATGTGATTGGATCAAGACTTGAAAGAAGGGGGGTGTGCAATGGTGTGTACAGACTTTTTCCGCCCAAACTTGGATGGACATGCGCAGTTTGTACATAATTTGGCCAGCTCGCCTCCCATCCCTCGCTCCCTCACTCCCTTGTTCCCTCCCTCCCTCACTACTCCCTCACTAACTCACGCTGGTGTACCATTCATTTACATAAACATATTAAAATTATCCCAGTTCCCACGCCCTCCACCTGTACGGCTTGTTTCTCTTCGAAGCGCAGAGGCAGTGAAGGGTCAATGGCCCCAGGTGGCCCAGAGCCCTTTCCCCAACCTGCAAAAGGTGGGGTTGTCAGCGTGGATGGGGGCCCGTGCTGGGGGAGCAGGATGGGAACGAAGGTCGATGTTCATTGGCTATGAGTGACATCCAAATTCGCTATTGTGTGGATGGGACAAAAACTGTTGCTCTTGTCGTGTAAAGCACTTAAGAACTATCATGCAAGTGGATGCAACATGGAGAAAAGGGTTTTCAACAGAGTTTTTCTTGCAAGTTCTTTTTCTTGTAGAGTTGTTTAACAGGATTCACTGGATTCACAAATTCACGGATCCTCCCTTTGGTTTCATCACACCCACCCTGTTTTCGGGATGCCTTCGGCGTGTTCGTTCCCGGGCTTTACCGGGAGTTCTCCGGTCCCGAAGTCCAGATCATCGATGGGGACACCGGCGGCTGGCAGCACGAGACCTGCAGCGAGATCGAGCGGGAGTGATTCGCGCGCAAGACGCTCTTGTGCGGCGTGTTGTTGCGTGGTGGATGGCCAATTTGAACGAAGATTCAATCACAGAGCAGGCACTAGGTCGGCAAATTTTGGAAGGGAGGTCGGCGCTTGTGTTCGAAGACGCAGTTTCAATAGGTTTGGTCTATGATTGAATGGCATGCGGCCCCCGGTTGTGCTACTCAAGAGCAACTCCGGAAGCGTTGAACCATCGTTTTAGCATTGGCTTGGTTCAGTTGGTTCGTTTAGCATACGGCCCAAAGCAGCCGGATTTTGCACCCTTTGATTCACTAGCACGGAAGTGGAAAATGGAGCCTTGGAAGACAATTTTCCTTTGTGAGCAGGGGCTTTTCCACTTCCATGTGAGTGATTGCAGTGCCATTCAACAGAATTTGGCGAATCCCTTCAAAAGGATCCGTTTCACGGGACACGCTCCATTGAGGGATCGGATGTCATTGGGGATCCACAAATCGCCAGAAAGATTCCCTAACATCCCACAAACCCAGTACAACCTGCCCAATCCCCTATCAATCAGGCCTGTCATCAGAACCCTCATGAGGCCACCCACAGCCCAGATCCACATCCCACCAGGAGCTCTTGCAGCTTCAGGCACGGCACTCGAGCTCCACAGGGTCTATCGGATCGTTGGTCGAGTTCAGACGCAGGATATGGGTGGAAGGTGACAAACGGCAGTTTTCTTCAGGAGAGATTGACTGATTTCCTGTGGTTTCAGAGTAGATGGCACAACCCCTGGGATGTCTTTTGGATGGGGGCCCATACAAACCACCTCTTGGGGATTGTGCCATCTACTCTGAAACCACTGTAGATGTTTGGAGGCTTCTCAGTTCGAAGAACTTTCAGGCTTGTGGGCACAGGGTGATGTATGCGGCCACCTCGCCTCAAGATCACACATGGACATTTTTTGGACTTCAATCGCTTACATATTTACCCAGACACATGCAGATCTACTTTATGCTCCTTCTGTACGGCTCAAGTTCAGTTTAAAGCTGCGGCAATCGAACTAACGCCATGGAGTTGCGGCGAAGCCAGGCATCCATCCTCAGCGGCATCGTGCTTTGTGCATTGGTGTCGTTGAGTTTTCAGGCATTCGTTCATGTGGTTCAGCCGCGGAGTGTGCCGAAGACAGCCATGAGGGTCAAGGTCTTCGACTTCCCCTTCCTCAACAACCAGCCAGAGCAGGACCCAGATGAGGCCGGCACGCGAGCTGCACGGCAACCAGAAGATAGTAGCCGTGTGGTGGAAGTGAACATGCCCTTGGGCATTGAGTTTGAGGAGCGTGAAGGAGGTGACATCTACATCAAATCTGTGGACAAGTCCAGCGATGCATATGCCCAAGGAGTGCGGAGTGGAGCTCAGTTAGTGATGATCAGCGCCACATTCGGAGATGAAATGTGGAGCACTCGGGGTGTGGGTCTAAAACAGTTTATCACAGTGGTGAACTCTCGCTTCGGCGGTACCACCAAGCTTGCCTTGGAGAAAGAAGACCAGAACGTCATCCAAGCCTTCATGGAGGCCTTTGCACCTGCTCCCGCTCCTCAAATGGACGAGAAAAAGCAAAACGACTTAGAGAAGATCTTCGACGAGGAGGAGGAAAAGCTCAAGAACGGCCCTGGGATGTGGAATCCCTTCCGATGAGCAGACAGTCGTTGGTTTTCCCGCCATGTTCCCGGACAGTTCACCTCATTTTCGGCGCGACGCGCCCGCAAGACAAAAGACGTGTTCCACGCGCGGCCAACCGGGGATCCCCACGAAGAGGCCCACCACGAAGATCCACCAGCGATGTCGGTTCGATCGCCTCGTTTCGTGGGCGCGGTCGGTGCACTGCCTGCGAGGTGAACAACAAGGCCATGACTCGGCAGATCCAGGCGACGGGTGCGAATGCGTGGCCATGACCGGGTCGAAAGGAGCAAGGCATTGATGTTGACACGTCCAGCTCGCTCTTAGCTTCGGGCATTTTCGTACAAAACCACCTCCCTGGCTTCTGGGCAAACTCTGAACTTCATTTCCCGACGTCCCAACACTACACAGAGGTTGTCCCATTCCCAAAGCTTTGAGTTGGAGTCCTGCAGCAACCCTAAGGCGAGAAAGAGTTCAGCCCGTTTCCCTTAATTAACCATCCTCAACCCCAAAAGAAGATGCATAGATCCCCTTCCATTTGTCGACTTTGGAATGGCTTCAAGATGCTTCAAGCCAAAATCCTCCGGTCGACACAAGCACTTCCTTCGTCCGAAAAATGAAGACGACTTCGTCCGCATGCTGTATATATATAAGCTGCATACGATTCAAAGGAGCAGGGTTTCGCGGTTTGAAAAACTGGTGTGGACCTCAAGCAATTGCAATCCCATGCACTAGGTTAAGACTTTCCACCTGGAAAATCCACCCACAAACTTCATTCTGGCAACCTGCCATTTGTGTTTGAACACAAAGTCCACCGGCAGCTGGTGACTCGCTTCAATGTCCTTGGCCCGGTCACCGAGATCAATCACCGAGCTGGTGAGGCTGCGGAGAAGGTGGATAAACAGCTGCACAAGCTGGGGAAGCAGTACAAGAAGTTCCTGGAGCAGGCAGAGATGTGGTGAGCGCTCGGGGGTGAATGGTGTTGAAGGGGTCTGTCCGGGTCGCTCGTTTGGCAGCGGTGACATGGGGGGAACTTCGGACCCTGAAGGCCAGGGACCCCAGGGGCTCCTCGGCAGATGGTGAGCCAAAGATTGCGAGGAAGGAGATGATGGGACCGGACCTGGGCCAACCCATCCTTCTTCCTAGTAAGGCCAGGATCCCCTAGGCCCTAGTAGCGTCCCGTCCCATCCCAAGAAACTCGTCCCCGGATTTAGACCGGACGTTGGTGTTGATGGAGCGCCCGATCCCAAGACATAAACTGATAGAGCTGGGATCGTGGCATCAGAAGATCTCTGCTGGAAAGGGTTTGTGCACAAGAATCAAATACTGGCTTGGCTTGGCTTCCTTTGCAAATGAAGTTGGGTTCCCTACCTTGAGCGTCCCCAAGTTGCGCTAATTCTGAAGAAGATCGGTATTGTAATAGTAATGAAAGTATCAGAATATAGATCTGCAAGCAGATCCAACCGACTGGGTAGCTCCTTTTTCATGACGGCGATCATCCGGCAGTCGGCTTCTGATCCAGGTGAGATGGGTACCTTCAGAGAAATGTATATATATATATAAACCAATGCAATTGTGGTGGTTGGGGTGTTCCAGGTTTTAACCAAGCATCAGCAGCAGAGTATATCCTTTTGTCCGCACGAGGTGCAGAACATGGAGCAAGACTTGGGTAGTGCACAGGCGGGGTTCAACTGTGCAACCATGCGTATCCGTGTCCAACTGGTGTGCGTTCAACGACGGATGCGCGTTCAACGTTGAGCTAGGGGTTGGTGGGTTGATGGACCAAATCCTGTCGTCGGACCAAAGAGCTATGTCGAACCTCCCATGGAAGGCTCAACCATCGATTCTTCAGGTTTTGTTTAAAAAACCGTCGAGTCAGGTGGTGAACTCATTCTCCTGACCGTCAGGTGCGACCTCCTACTGTAGTACTATAGGGCTGATATGGAGGCAACCCATGTGATTCAGTTCAGTTGTTTTTTCTTTTCCGGCTCAGAGTCACTACTTACAGGAAGAACCGGTGCGACCCGTCTTCCACCGCGGGAATGGAACAGGCGGAACAGGGAGTCCACCTGTTGGTATCATTTTTCCGAAGAGGTGGAACGCGCCGTTGGAGTCACTCAGCGACAGGATGTGGAACTCTGCAACGAAGATGCATGGGACATTCATGAGATCGTTTTGGTGATTTACTTGCCATGTTGGCACAAGCAGCGTACCAAGCTTTGCAGTTGCACAGTTTGCAAAATGTTCGTGCATTCAAACAACTCGACTGTTCTTGGTGGAAGAACAGCGGAACCCTGACAGAGGGTTCTTGTTTAGGCTCAATGCTCGGTTTTGTATCGGTCTGCTCAGATTTTCGATAATATTTTTCCCAGCAGCTGTTTGTTGGGTTCTGTTCTGGCGTTGATGGCTAGTCTTGATCGTTCTGTGCCGCTCATGGCTCAAGGAAGTAGAGCAGGAGCCCTAATTAGAGAAGTTGGAGGAAGAGCCGTTTACATTCTGAAGGGGTGTGACATTGACGAATTGTCAGCAGTTTAAGACCCAGATTGACACGTTGCGGGCAATCATACCAAGTTCGATTTTAGGGTGGATGTGGAATACATCATGAAACTGTATGAAGAAGTGCTAGCAGCAGAGTGCTGGCAGCAGACTTTGACATACGAAAATTCCTGATCAGAGCTTTGAACATGTATCCGAAGCTTTTAAGCCATGCTACCGATCTTCGGATCTGATCCTTGCACGCCCCAATGGTCCAGCCACCAGACGCAAGAAAGACATGTCACGAAGAAACCTCTGAGGACTCGGAATCCATGCCATACCGTATGAGCCACCCGAAGATTTGGGGGGTGAGCGCAGAAACCATTCATCGGCGCGCAGACGGCGCCTCGCCATGGATGAAGTGCACTACACAGAGTTTGAGAATCCCAAGTTCGATGCCAAGGACGAGACGCAGATGTTGGGAGGTCCACCCTGCAGATGTTGGGTTTTCTGTCATTTGCGGCTTGTGTTCTTTTCTGTTACTCTGAAATGCATGTGGGCGTGCGGCCGCAAAGGCATGCTGACGGAGCAATGTGCGGAGACTCATCACCTCCTTGTGCAGCCCGTTTCAGTGACACTTCCAGGTCGGCAGTCACACTGGAGCTTGCTCCTTTGAGCCTTCTTGGACACACACATATATATATATATATGGTGTGTAATTATAAAGAACATATTGTGTAAAATTTGTACACAAAAGTTTACCCAGGCCAACTGGATACCTATAGGCCTATAGGCCACCTTGGGCAGTCTCCGATCGCCTTTTTACTAACTTTTTCTGACTCGTTTCCCCATGTTTGTGTCTCCTTCCAACCGCTTCGACCTGCCGGCCATGCCGTTGCAACGCAACCATTTGCTCCAAAACCGCTGCGCTCGACCTCCCCCACCCCCAGGCACTTTGCAGGAAGAAAACACCGGTCGACCAGCAATTCTGACCTCCAAACCGCCATGCGGATCTGCGGATCTGCGGTTCGCGTGTGGTTTTTTCGCCACCGGAGGGTCTTTTCTTTTCACATCCCTTCGCGACCCATTTGCAACCCCCAAAAATGGTCCTTTGGATTCAGTTTCTCTGATCGCTACCTCAAGGACCTGGATGAAGGCCCGCCGGATGACCTCTCTTGCCATGATAATCAAGATGTCATCCAAGTAGGACGTAGAGCACCATGAGGACCGACATCTCGACAGCATCTGCCCCATCTCTTCAGCTCCGCTCTCCTTCGCTCAGGGCATCCCGTACGCTTACTCGGCACCGCTTAGAGTGGACAGGTGAGTCAACAATCGATTCTCCGTAGTCACATGGAGAGCTATCTTCTGAAAGAGAAGAGACACGGATCCCGCCGTGTCCGGGAAACGGACCGTTTCCACACATCGGAGTTTAGGGTTCAGCTCCCGACATCGACATCGAGCACGGCGTTTTTCCCGCTTGTGCGTCGACACCTGGAAATGCGGAGCTTCGAAGGTATTTAAATAACCTTCGGACATCTCCAACCATTTCATGAGAAGGGGGTGCAGAGAACAGTGGAGATTTGCACCCTGCGAAACTTTTGACTATCCACTTGTGCTAGACGCAAAGCCATGCAACGCCTGACCAGCGCTATGTACCTGCGAATCGTTTTGCAAGACTTGTGGTACAAAACAGACTGTAATCGGCAAAGTCTTCAGGGTCTTACAGGATTTCTGTGAAGGTCGGGTCGTGCACTAAAGTAAAGAGCCATCAACAGTTGCAACAACTTAGAACATCACCGGATGACACTCAGCTTCTTGATTCACCTCTCTCCAGAGTCCAGGGTGTGTCGTTTTCACGTGTTTTGACCCAACGAGTTTCAAAAATAACAGTAGGGCTGCCCGTGATTGTAACCCATTTTCCACCAACTCTCGCAGCCCAGACCGATCATGAAGGACAATGAGTCAAACCAATCTTCGCATCTCAAACCTCTGGACCAATCTGGTCTGGGCTGATCCAATTTGACCGGAGCCCACAGAAATCACTGCATGGGCCGCTCGTTTCCAGCTGGCCGGTTCACGGCGACCGCAGGAGCTGGTGCAGCGCTACCGCAAGCGGGTGCCTCTGCCGCAGCTGCAGAAGAGCCTCCGAACGCATCACGCCTCGGCGCGGCAGGAGCTGGTGGAACTGATCAATGAGATCCTTGGAGTTGGAATGTGGGAACGTGGACGGCCCGGTGGTTCGGGGTGGCGAATGGTCTGGAGGATTCTGGATGTTTTGATTTTCCAATGTCCCTGATGGTTTTCGGGAGGGAATGTAGATGGCAAGGTGGCTGGGGGTCTGTCGAAGGCAGTTATTCCTGCTGATCCGCCGCTTAGTCCAGTCCATTGGGGTGCACCTGTGGGATGAATGGTTGGAAGGGAATGGATCCAGAGGAATCTCTTATTGGGGGCTCCTTACTCCAACTAAGCACCAGTGAGACTGTTGAGGCTTTGGCGATTTCAGCATCGACTACAAGATTGTTCATCCGGCCACTCCGTCGCCCTCGCTCTCGAGCGACGGAACCCTTGACGGGAAGCTTTCTGCCACAGGTCTGTCAATCGCATGACAGGGTCTTTGCAACTCGAGAGGCTCAAGCAACTGAAGAGGTAGACATATGTTTTGTATTGTTTTGTCAAGACCAGAGGAAGGAGGGGCATGATCAGGTCTCTGCCTCTGCCCCACCACGACCCCTCCCACCACCTCTGCCGCCACGCGTCGCCACGGACCGGACGAGCGAGCGAAAGCGAAGGAAGTATGCGGACTTCGTGAGCTTGTCCTCACGGATGCAAGGGGTCGAGCGGGCGCTGAAGCCGCTGCGCGCGCCCTTGGAAGAGTCTGCAGAGCTGACCAAAGGACCTGTTGTTTTTTCTTATTCAGCAGGAGTGATACGGACCGTGATGGGTGGGCCGACCTTGATTGAGGAGACAAGGCCTCTGGAGCCAGCAAAAGATCATAATTAGGACACTGGACCTGGATGACTATTCGGTCTTGTGGTGAGTATGATAGGAGCCCAAAGATGTAGGGTTTTGATGGATCTTTGTATCACATATATCATATACATTCTAAATTCTAAACCTGATTGAACATCAGCGACTCCCACACTGACATGGGTCGAGCAATGTTATGAAATGTGTATTTATAATATATAACTGTAGAGTTTCTCCTTCCATCGAGGTTGCTACCCGGCCATCAACATGAGCCCCTCACCGTCAGGACTGCACAGCAAACTTGGAAGTCTTTTGCAAAAGGCAGAAGAAGCTCACCAAGGGCTGGTGCGGATCGGAGCTCGCAAGGACGCGCTTCGGGCATACATCGAGAATGCCAGGTGAGGCCAATGCAACTGGTGCGGGTGGAAAAACAGATGCTGCATGTCTACAACAGAATCGCAACTAGAACTATATACTGTATATTGACAATGCATCTGAACATTGGCTACAGAAATGTGACCTCAAACGGAACGCCCGGGACGGGGGATCAAGACTCACTCTCAGTTTCTGTTCCAGATGCCCCTGCCTCCCTCCAGCGGACCGACATCGCCCGCGCCGACCGACCGCGAAGCGATGCCTGTGACCAGGCTTTTAGAAAAGGTCCGCTCATCGGGCACTGGAATCGATGCGGCGAGGCCGCGGTTCCTTGACATGTGCTGATGGTTGAGATTCACTTTTGGGCTTGTGGAAGATCCCACAATCAGATTCACACACAGTTGGGTGGGATTCACCCGTTCCATCCAGACCGTTTTCGCAGAACCTGGCTAAGTCGTCCTTCGCCAAGGAACCTCCAAGAGGCGGTGGCGCGGGACCTGCGGCGGATCCGTCTGAGCCTGCAGGGAGCTCATGCAGCGTCGCCCGAGTGTCAGGCGTTGCTGGAAGAGGCACGGTTCGAGAACGGGCGAGAGGTGAGAGGTGAGAGCCGACCGTGAACGGTGGGCATCGCGGTAATTGGGCCGAGCGGTTCTTTTTGGGGGGAGATAGACCTCCTTCCTGAAGCTTTTCCGACATGTTGATGTTGCTACGAAGCCGTGGGGACAAGTCAGTGTCTGTATTGTTTTCGCCAGGTTTTGGTAGCATCATTGTATAGTATTGTATAGCATCCGAGCGAAGATCATCATCCCCCCTTTCGCCCTGTATGTGCGCTCCTTTGGATGCGTTCTGTGTTGAACACATCTTTTGATGCAAATGCACTTGGCGACCCCACCTTTTTCTCAGATCATCCCCCTCCCACTCTCCGAGAGCAATTCCTTCTCGGTCTATTTAATATTTCATCTCAGGCCACGAAGGCCGGAAAGGCCGCCCGTTCCTTCTCCAAGTACTAAGTACTGTAGGTATTCCACGGTCAGGTGATACTTCTAGAAGTTTTAGATGCATCATGATGGATGCACATTCTTTGAAGTCTTTTTGGCGTAATGCTTGATTCAAAAGTTCCACTCCAAGATCCATTTAGCATGAAAGCATCTTGGTTTTGGACGATCGGAGGAAGATGCTTCATCCTCTCAGGTGGGGTTTCCTTCTTTCCCACTCCAAGACTGGCTACAAGTTCCGGATTCAGGATTCACCATGCAAGAACCAGCCAGGCTTTGGTAAGAGTCAGGGTTCTCTTCCAAAAGCACCAGCCACGGTGATGGAAACGGACGACGAAACGGTGAAACTCGACGCTGGGGCGACGGTCCGTGGATTCACCAGGCCATGTCCTTCCAAGAGGATTTCAGCCAGAAATTGGTGGAGCAGCTGCGGCCTTTGCTGCTTTGCTCGAAGCGCTCCTGGGATGCTGCGGGTGAAATACCCAACACTGCGCCTGGGATGCCGGGTCAAAAGAGGCAGGAGAGGAGGATTGAAGAAGAGCCCTCGACACCACCGGATTGGGTCAGCACCAAGAGCTCTTTTGGCCGTTTGTTTTTCCTTTGACTTGGGGAATTATGGAGGCTTTCCGGGTCTGGAAAAGTTTTTTCATTTTTCTTGTTTCCGTGGGACCTTGAAAAGAACAGTAGAAAGGGAAGTAAACATGGAATAATGGAATACAATGAAACTACTCGTAGTTCGCATTTTTGGGGGGGCGCTATCAGTTTCAGAGGCAAATGGGTTTGTCTGAGGGCCTTGGGCCTGGTCGCAGAGTAGTTCTTACATATTTGGCCGAATAGGGGACCCATCGAAATTCTTGGGTAGGTTCCAGAGATCAGCTTACCCGTGGAGAGTCCCCTGAACTTCCTCAGGAAGCACCCCACCAGGTTGTCCCCACATCGTCCGACCTGGTGGGACAACCTGGTGGGCACCGAAGCCACCGACACCGTCCACCGACACCGGTCGACCCCGAGGAGTTCCTGGCGATCTGCCAACTCAGCCGTGCGCTGTGCCACCTGGGCCATGCTGCACTGGTGGAGCAGAGCTTCGGAGAGGTCTTCGTGCGAGCGAAGCTCGAGGAGCTCAGTGCCACATGCAATGCGGTGGCGGAGGAGCAGAAGCGGAAGGCCATGGCCATGGCGGAAGGCGTGGCCATGTGGATTTGGAATGGGGCGGATGGAACCATCCACTTCAGCCGTCGTTGAGGTGCATGATGTTTGCATTTTTGGACTCTTTCCTATAGGTTTGGGGTTCACCACGCAATTGCCACCGCCCAACACGCATGCAACTCAAACCAGGCTCCAAGATGGTCAGCGCGGGGGCGGTGGATCTGGCTATTTTCTTCCATTCAGTGCAGGAGACCTTCTTCACGGAGGCCCGTTTCGGGTGAAGAAAGGACATTTAGGGTTTCTGTGGCATTTCCAGAAAAAAGAAACACATCGTTTTCCATCTTGGTGTTCTTAGGTTCTTCCATCTCATCGTTTTGTGGCTCCCAGGCTTTCGGCGGGAATAGCGAGTTTCTTGACATTTACCAACCGAGGCCTCTGCGTTGCTGTGGTTCGCCCGCCGCTGGAGTAGTGGGAGCTCTGGAGATGTGGAGATGCCTCGCGTCAGACTGCTGGCAGAGGCGCTGGTTCTGCCCTGCCTGCAAAAAGTGCAGGAGGTGGGCCTGGAATCAAATCGGATTCGCGTTTTTCCACATAGGAGGGTGGTCTCAACATGAGGTAGAGGGAGACCCACTCATTTGGTTATCCTCAGATGTTGTGAAGCTTTTGGTGTGTTTTACTTCTGAAAGGTCTTCTGCCAAACCATCAATGTAGTACAGTACATGATTTTCTCACCTGTGTACACACACACACTCTCTCTCTCTCTATATATAATTATATATATATATACACATACGCACACACTCCATAACTTCTTTGACCGCTTGCATTTACCTGGTGGAAAAACATGAAACAAGATACCATTCAGGAGTATCATCAATCATCAGCCACACTTCAACGAATGGATCCACCGTACACGTTTCAACGAAGCCCTCAGGTGTGGCCCAACGTCTTTATGCCCGCTTTCCCGGACACCTTCGCGGCCAACTACCGGCACTTCAGCAGCTTCCTGCGCCAGGCAGAGGAAGTCATGGAGGTGAGCGAAGCTGGAGAGCTCCAAAGGAAGTTGGTCGACTTCCAACGAAAGTGGAAGACGCAGGCGTCAGTCCCGGCTGGATCGGGACATGAGGACCCGTGGGGGTGAGTCGAAGGGTGAGTCGACCGGCGAGACGGAGGTCATGCTGCCTTGGCCGCGAAGAAATTCCCACGGAAGAGAGGTTGCAGCAATCCTTTCTACTCTTGAAGGAAGAACTTTGGCGTCAGTTGGTAGGACCTGGTAGGAGGTGTTCTTAGCTGTTAGTTGATTGAGGGCTTGTGGGGGAAAGCAACGAACCAAGCCATGGGAATTCCCAAGTCTTTGAGTCTCTGAATCTGACGAGAAACGACACGGAGACTCTTCTTGCCCGAAGTGGTGAAACCACTTCCTCTTCCTGGTGCTGCCCAGACCTCCCTCCCTGTCCCTCCCAGACCTCACTTGCCTCCGTGCGGCGACCACGTCCCGACGCAGGTCTACTGCTCCCTCCGCACGAAGGAGGCGGCACAGCGCCTGGACACCGCCGCCCAGAAGCTCACGCTCGACTCCGCCGAGCCCGGTGGCGTCTACTGGCTTCCGGTCTCTGGCGAGCTCATCAGGCCAGGTGGGACGTGGGACGTGGGACGTTTGGACGAGCTCTTCAGTTTTTGAAAACGGACGACATGTTATGAGCAAAATAGGACCAGTCCCTTTTGACATCCATCTCAGGACCATCGATCTGGTCTGGAAGGCTTGGTATTTGAGCTGCTTGTATCCCAAGATGGCCCGACTCTCGCTGGAGCTGGTGGCCAAGTACGGGAAAGCCATCTCGGCCTTCGTGGAGACGAGCGCTGGTGGTGCTTGGGATGCTGCACAGCAAGGTTGGAGTGCATCCTCCTTGCCGGTGCGCTTCGCACGCGCCGCAGCGGACGTCTTGCAGGTGCGCAACCTAATTGTCTCATCATAGACATGGACATGTGTTGGAAGCAGGTTGGCAACAGTTTGTTTCTGAAGTTGCCGACGGCGGCAGCACCTGCTGCCCAGCTCAAACGGACCTCCCTCCCTTTACATGAATGTGGTGGTTCTGAGCCCAGGTGCACCCGCAACTCAGAGAAAGAGAGAGAGAGAGGGAACATATTGTAGCAAGTGTAAGCACACCCAGAGAATAAATTGTACATCCAATATGCGTATCAGGGTTATGTACATGTAGCAAGTGCAATGCAGCGAAAAATCCTGGTGTTCTCCCTTCAAGGAGTTCTGTTGTATTGTGTGCTATTGTTTGGGTTTGGGATTTCAATTCCAACCCCTGCACCAAAACTGCCAATTCACCTGGGTGGTGCAGTATCCAAATACCGCACAAAAGGCATGTTCCAGGTCCACGTGCGAAGAAGATGGACTCCTTCTTGATATAGCCAGAAAATGCCAGAAACATGTTTGCTGATACTTGGGGTCAATACTACCCAGTATACCTATTCCTAGCCTAGACAATGAGGACCCCACAGTGGGTGGAACGTGGCACAAACAAAAAGCGGCCTCCAGTCCTAACGAGGTCTTTCCACTTGCCTATTGCGTCAGTTTACTTATTTGGACTCGACATGTTCGGTTTGGCGGCGGTTTTTTTCACCCATAGCAACCGCCAGTCACTAATCGCCTGTGCGGAACTGTTCGCCAGAATCCTAGCCAGGTGATTGCCAGCTTCAGCGTGGAGGGGTCACCAGGGCTTGTAGCCCAGCTCTTCTTGGAGCCATTGGAGTCAGAGAAGCCACGAGAACTGGAGGTGTTCGAATGGAGGTTTTTGCTTTGTTTAGTTCTTTAGAATGGAGTTTTCTCTTGCGATTCGTGACCCCTTGGTTTGGGTGGGATTCGATGAATGGACCGTTCGATGCATTTGGACCAGGGACATGATCTTCTCTCCGATGAATGGGAATCGAGCATATTCCCGGGTCTGGACTGCATATTTCCACAAGCACACGGGCGGCAACGGACATGAAACACGGAGGTCTTTCTTGATTCTTTCTGGTGGTCATGGGACATTGTGGACTGAACCTCCAAGCGAGGCACGGTGCCATGTGTAGTGACCCCCACAAAATAGAGACTCCCCTCTAAACATGCAAAGGACATGGTGAAATCGCTTATTGCAGGTTTACAGCTGTACATTCTCCATCTGAACCAACGGAGGTCCCGTCTTTGAACCAACGGCCGAGGAGAGGTGGCTAAGGTGCTGCTGATGGAGGCAGCTCGGAGTCTGGAGCCAATGCTGCTTTTGTTGAAGGATGGGATGGTGAAGCAAGTGGTGGCCGCCTCGTGGCAGCGTTGACAACGGGGAAGAGAAACGTGGGAAGCGGAAGACCTGTGCGTGGTTGACAGGTGTTGTGTGTCCTCCTGCAGGAAGAAACACTTCCTACACAGGGGAAACTCCACGGCGTAGTGGCTTACATACATCTACCCAGGGCAGAATAATCATAAGTGTCTTTAGTAGGGGCCCTGCATTTCAAACTCGGTCAACTGTCAACAGTTGCTGGGTGGGGGGAAGACCAAAGTTCTTGGTTTTGTTGCTACGATGAACTGCGTGGCGGTGTGCTTTTGGGAAAGATGGTGGAGTATGGATGAATTGGTCCAAGATACTCATGCACGTGGCTCAAAACACACGGTCTTCGAAGTTTTTGGGGTACAAACATGAGTGTTTTGGCTAAAAGCATCTGGTGTATGGAAGTTTGTATGGCAGACCTTCCCAGCACCACCCCGCTTCTCGGCTTCCCCCCAGGCCATGGGGACGCCCTTCGCGGCGATCCGCGGGATTCCAGCCTTCTACCGGATGCTGAACAAGCCGGTGCCCACCAAAGCCTCGCCCTATGTGGAGTCCTCCTTAAGGTGGGTCCCGACGTCGGTGGAAAGACCTGGTGGGATCTGGTCTTTTGTGGTGAAAAGACATTGACCACTTGTTGCAAGGAACAAGCAGAGACAAAAGCGGGATGCCAGCCCAAACTACCTCCAGAGCGAGATCGGACAAATGAGCAGACTCTGACTCGGTAGGTTTTTCATGCTTGTTTCTCGATTTTGAATTTTGAGACCACCTGGCTTCACAGAAGCTTTCGCTGTGTCCGGAGGCCTCTGACAGCCTTTCGTGATGTCTTGGTGGGTTCCAAGATAGCTGAAGACTTCGTCAGGGCTTGGCTCAAAGAAATGGTGGACGCTTGGAATGCACTGCAGAAGGCTCATTGATCAAGAGTCTACATTAAGTGCATGATTTCGTGACCACAGAGCAACTTAGAACCTGACAGACGGCCTCCGATTTTGCCAATGGAGGAATATCATTTTCCAACCAGCTCTATCAAACTATCGGAGGGTACCCAGGTTGGTTCGGGGAAGTTTCGATTTTTGGGTTGCGTCATTACAGGCCGTGATGGGATGTGCAATTATAACGTTTTGGGGCTTGGGCTGAGAGTCCTGACCAAATGCCCGGTGTATGGCGAGTTCTGACCAAATCATGCCTTACGTGTTCTGGATCTGAATCTTGGATCAGCTAGCCAACATGGGCTTCATGATGTTTCATTGTGTTCTTGCTCGGAAGGAAGACATCGGGTCCCCCAAGGCCAGTATGTGTGGGCCCTGTTCCTACTTCAACTCGTGCAGGATTTCTTCCTTTGACTTGCATCAAAGGCCTTTCAGATTGGGAATGGGCTTCAAAGGGTCAAGCATATTCATTCCCTATTCGAACCCCCTGCCTACTATGCCGGTCGCCCTTTCAGAAGCACCGGGAACCGCGTCCAGGACGGAGCGGCGCAAGAGTTCGCGGTGCAGGCGACGCAACTCATTGAGATGCCTGGACGACTATAGAAAACCCAAGGGATTTGGGGCAGATTGCGGCAGACTGGTCAGATCCAGGTCCATGTCATGCACAATTTTTCCGGATTGTTGCTCTTGAGATGGTCAATGAGGACTGCCCTATCATTTTTGGGCTGCAGGGAGATGATTAATAGAATTGAACAGATCATAACAGATCTACAAAAATACTGCTTGAAAGCCCAGAGAATATCAGAAGCTCATTTTAAGAACTGGAGGATTTGAGGGATGCATGAGCTCTAGTCATGGGTGGAAAAAGCTCGGCCTGAAACTTGTGCAACACTGGTGGGCTTAATGAGGAAGTCCATGAATCCTACCTTGACTTGTCAATAACATTGAGTGCCTCAGCAAATGATGCAACTACAATGTTTCTGTGACATTCTGATAAGAGTAAACAAGAGCAGTCTCGTGTGTCCTGAATGCCATGAATGTCTGTCCTGGTGTGCTGAGACATAAATGCAATTCTTTTCAACATGAGGAGACTCGCGGTGCCCAATGGTGCACCAAATATGATGTGCACCAACCATTATGATCATTTTTTGTTGTGGTCTACTCATGTATATACACACCTTTATCTTGCTGCCCATCAACCAGGTGGTTCCTTTTTCGATCGCCCAGGATGACCCATCAGCAGGAGGCCTCCCTGCGCCGCCTCGCTGGACGAGGCGACGCCAAGGGCGATGACCAGGCGGAGGGGGCACCGGTCGGACGGATCCGAACGTGGACGGCCAGTCACGTGGGCCGGTGGACTGTTTGGAGCGTGCTGCCTACTGGGTTGGTGGCGTTTGGGAGGGAGAGAAGGCGTCGTTCGCAACGATGGGCGCCGTTGTGATTAAAGATGGATCTCCAGTATATAATTACATGGCGGTCGAAGCGCTTCTATTGCCACGGATCTTCTTCGCTTGGGACATGATGTTTGTTTTGGGCGTTGGTCCCAACTCCCAGCCATCGTAGTGGATTTGGGAACACAATCTATGACCCCAACCCTCCAAAGCTGGAGAACATGACTGACAATCCACCCTAGAGCGAAGATCGGTGATAACACCACGACTTCCAGTTCGCAGATAAGCAGCTAGGAGTATTTGTATAAAGAGCTTTGATTGTGGTTCTTTGAAAGGGGACATGGGGAAGCATGAAGAAGCAAACAGTTTTTGACCACCCCTCGTGCAAGTCTCACGCCCTTTTGGTCAAAGGCCAGCGGCCAGAAAAGAACATGATGCACAATGCTGGTGACGTGGAGGGTCGTCTTGGTCAGTGTTTCTACTAGACTGTTGCTTTTCCCTCGATAGCCATCATGACCCCCACCTGCAGCTGGGTCAAATGGCGTTCGAAGAGTCGAGGATGCCCATCCTTCTTTTTTTCTCCTGCCGGATCCAATGGTCCCCCGGTGCGACAATACGGCCCGATATGGCCGGGTTTGTTTTGGGAAAACAAGCAACTAAAGGCCATGGGTTTGTTTTGTAAGAATGTCAGAATTGTCATCCACTGCCACAGTGTAGGAGACACGGTGTCCGGGTGTGAATTTACACTTAGATTCATGAATGGGCCCAAGCCTCTCGAGGTGTCTGATTTGGACAAGATCTACCTCCAACTCTGTCTTGACGTGGATACCTTCAGTTCCATGGCCTCAGCGACCGCTGGGTCAAAACCGGAGGGTCTCCAGAAGTTGACGGAGGCCGTGTCTGGCATTCGTCGCACGGCCACCTAGTCGACGGCACCGTCGCGGCCGAGATAAAAAAAAAGTGCGATGCACGGAAATCCGCTGGATCGCGCGGGGAACGAGCCGAACCAGAAAGGAAAAGAACACGACATAGGAAAAAAGAGATGGAAGAACAAGATAAATGAAAGCAGGGAAAGACACCTTTCTAATCCTTCTTCAAACCTGATTGGTATCAGTTGGAAGTCCATCCTCCATCTCCCACCACGCGAACTTTTGGAGCAAGAATACTTTTTAGGAGATTTATACCTAGACCATCCAAAGGGTGTCCAATGGAGATCCCCAATTAGTGCAGGCTAGCCCATTGGATTCCCTTTGGATGGCCTGGTACACGATTTGGCGACCTCCACTTCAGCTCTGGGGTGGCTCGAGGGGAGTCGGGATTCGAAAGAGAAGCGGCTGGACCAAAGGGTGTCGAAGAAGACCTGTGCTCTGACAGAGGAATACCAGTCTTTGGACCTGCATCCGTGGGTTTTACAGTGGTATGGGTATCTGATGGTATATATCCGTGAATTGTTCTTTGAGTTTAGGAGTTTTGGATTTATGAGGCTTACGCCTGACAGCCGGGCGCCGGCCTATGTGGGTATGTGTAGGGCGTCTCTGTCTCCGTCTCGGTATCTGTCGGTATCTGTCTCTGTCTCTGTCTCTGCCACAAGGTCGTGGGAGAGCATCGCTTCCCCACCCTCGTATACGACGGGGGGCCGGGACTTCGGGCGTCCCGGCAGCATCCTTCGCAAGACGGGGGCTGACCGCCCGGGTGTGCATGGAGCACACCGAAGGTCGGGAGAGCCGTCGGACGCAGTGGATCGCAGGCGGGGATGGCAGCTGTTGCGGTAGGCTAAGTTTGGATAAGGCAACCGTTAGGGGAATCAAAAGGAAATTCCGGGCGCGAGCACACTGTCAGTAAGGATGTTGGTTAGGAGACACATGAGAAATATCGAGTATTAATGTGTAATTGGTGTAGTTCATAGTGGGGGATGAGTAGTAGCATTTCGTGGAGAATCGGAAAGGGATGGGGAAGCAGTGGAATAAGAAGACTAAATGGGGTAATGAGTTTGTGTTTAACTGGAGGAACTTTTTGTGTACGCCGCTGCAGGTGAGGAATGGAAGCCTCGCGGCGGCAGCGGGAAGTTGGAAGCATGCCTCGAGGGCGAGGCCAGGTGCCGACGGAAGCAACTGGGTCTGTTTAAGCAGACAGAGAGTGGGCAAGCAAGAGGGAGTGAGGAAAGCGTATAGTAGCACCGAAGTTGAAACACAGCTGGCCGACTGAGAGCTGGTGGCTCTCAGCAGCTAGACAAAGCATGAGCGGAGTCACGGGCACGGTAACCATAACAGTTTAGGCATTCAAGCAAAGAGTAGAGAAACATGCATGGATAAAAAAGGAAGCGGCGGAGGTAGAAAACGAAACTGCTTGAACATGGTCACATTTTTAGGATAAGTTGCAACCGAGCGCCGAGTCTGCGTCCTGCCGTCGCCATCCATAGCGGTAGACAGGACGCCATGGCGAGAAAGTCGGCGGCCAGCGCAGCAGCGCCAACGCAGAAGTCGGAGCCGGAGTCCACGCAGCCGGTCGGAGGGGAGAGCGGACGGTAGGAAACAGACTAAGAAGACGTACTTGGTTGGTAAGAGTTAACACAGGGTGATAGAGCGGAGCTAACCCATAGCTTGTCCACATAGTTCTTTCTGAGGTCCATGTACTTGCAAAGAGGCAGTGAAAAGCATAACACAGTTGGACTCGAGAGAGAAACGCTAAGAAAGGAAGACGGGTGTCTGCGCACCCCTGCGAGGCGGGAGTGTGGTGCGCGCCCGACGCAGCAAGCCGGGAGGCAGCGTCGAGGGTGACGTTGCCAGTCGCCAACGAGAGTACACGGCTGTTGGCGGAGGTGCAGCAAGCCACAGGGGATGTGGCAGACTTTTTTGTGAAGGTCGCGACAGTGGTGGTGCAGGCCGTTGCGAAGGACCGGCGAGCTTTGGCCGGTGCACTGATAGCATTGAACCCCGCGCCAACAACTCTGCAGAGCATCGCTCAGCAGAACAGTGGCCCTTCGAGTTGGTGGGACGTCACCGGGGAGGTGAACGTGAAGTGGGCGGTGCACTCGGGCGACGATGCAGAGCCGGAGTATGACCTCGCGATCGTCCAGGGTTACAACTCCCAGTATGTGAAAAGCAGTTTGTATGGGACGATCGTGATGAAGATGGTCATGGATGCCTGCGAAGCGGCTTTCCAACAGTTGTCCCCAGCCGACCGAGAGTTGGGTTTTCAGGCAGTGTGCTTGCAAGTGAACACGGCGCTGGGGGAACAAGGCAGTTTGGCTCGATTACTGATGAGCGAGTTTGCGAGCAGGCCTTGGAAGTTTGACTTGGATCCATACACTGCCACGCAGAACTATGGTGGCAAGCGGCGGAGGCTGACGGCTCGGCAGGAAGCAACAGCTCAGGCTGAGGGACGCAGTCAGCGTGTGATCACGCGTCGATGAGTGACGCAGCCAGTCCCAGTACCAGTTCGCTTGCTAGCGAGATCTACGGTTCTGCGAGTTTCTGTGGCAAAAAAAGTACCCGCAGAGCATCGCTCAGCGGGAGAAGGTAGAGCTCAGAGAAGTGGAAATATTAGTTGGTTTAGAGTGCGCAGAGCATCGCTCAGCGTGACAATCGGTGTGAGCGGGCAGCGTAGAAGTGGAACCGGCGGCAATCGCGCCGTCGAAGAGTCGAAGAGAGCGAATCCAAAAAAAAAGGCGCTAGACCGACGTTTGTCCATGCAAACTTTCGTTGAGGTATTCTATCCCCTATATCCCACCTCTCTCTCTCTCTCTCTCTCTGTCTCTCTCTCTCTCTCTTTTTGAGACTGTGTGGGGCCTATGTTGCCACATCTTGAGGCAATCTTGGCCCATCTAGGGGCTATGTTTCCCATATCTGGGACCTAGGTAGGGTCATCTTGCGGCTATGTGTGCCATATCTGGGACCTATGTTGGGTCCTCTTGAGGGGCTGTGTCAGATCATCTTGGAGCACATGTTCCGCCTTTGCTGTTGGCGCGTGCCCAACACCCACGAAATGTCGATTAAGCCTGTCCGCGCGGCACGCACAACCGACACCAGACACCACCCTTGTCTACATCTATCGACCGGATTCGACCGGGGGTCGACCGGGGGTCGGGCAGGGGTCGGGCGGGGGTCGACCAAAAGAGTCGGCGGCAGGGGCGGCGAGCGTATACAACCTTCGGTTACCAACCGAAGGCCTCCGGCAAGGACACGGGCCCGTGGCCGGCGCCCGGATTTTAGACTGAGCCAAAGATGGAAGACTCTTCTTTTCTTCGTGCCCTTCCTCCTCACCGGCCATCACGCCCGTCCAGGCCTCGGCCTTGACCACCGCCACCGCACGGCGCGGAGAGAAGGCCAGCCAGCAGAGCAGCGAGGCGACAGGGCCGTGCCGCGTGTGGTGTGTGTGACGCTGGTCTTTTGGGTGGCTGAGAAGAGGTGCGGAGGGTGGGGGTGGATGCTAACTGCCATGCTAACCGGGATCGCAAGCACTAACTCCTAACTTGCGAGTGTTATCATCGTGTCTGCGGGACTGCTTGAAACCCCAGTCCAAAGTTCTGCGGACATTCATCGCGGGAGACTCCCTGGAGAACCCGCTCGCACACTTTTGGATGATGAACCCTCCATCTTTGGCTTTTGGGTGATGTATGCTCCCTACAAATCTATATATTTGCAGTTTTGTTGATAGACTCAGGCTGACTGGGGCATGGAACCTGAAAAATAGATGCCCTCCATGAGCCTCCATACTGCTTTTCTCTGCAACACTAGTGCAAGCGGTTTCAGTACCATGCTAGTGGCTCCTAGTCAGCAGCCCTGCACAAACCAGGTTCTACAGGAATGCGTGGGAATACTAGAAAGTCATGGAATCGACCATGCATCGGCATTTGCTTCCGTACCTCAAAGAAGGGCTGGGCGGGGGTTGGTATGAATGGTGCCCCGCCGCTACAAGCTTTAACCCTAGATATGAAGAGGAGGGTGGAACACAGAGAGACGCACACACACATACAAAAGGAAACGAAACAGGGAGTCAGGGAGTGTAGCCTTCATCCAGTTTTCCTATTGACCGCAGCAGTCCCAACGCAACCACATCATATCGATTTTTGCAACTCATATTCTTGAATACTGAATAGTAATAAAACATATGTTGATATTCAATGATATTCATATCAATATGGAGATATCAACACAGCATCCGTGCAGAAAACGGCCCCTCTTTTGTCATCCACGCTCCACGCTGTGGAGACAAACCGTTTCCGCCCTGATTCGGCAGGTGCAGACAAGCCATTTGGAGCGACGGGTGAAGGAGTTGCAGGAACAGTTGACGCAGGCGGTGTCCTTGGGTATGAAAGGGTATGAAAGGGAATTGCATCAGCGAAACATCGTTATGGATGAAATGGACTGTGCTCTACGGGTTTATGGAATTTTATGACCATGTTAATCATGTTACCATGTTTCTAGAGTTGATTGACCTGAACAGATGACAGAATCATCAAAAAAACGTTTCAATGTGTTTCAACCTCTTCAAGCCGTCGACATGGCTTTTGTGTGGCCTTGTTATGCCTTGTTTCGTTTGACACCATCTCTCTTCAATTTCGGGATTCGCACAGGTTGAGCCGGGGTGATTGCCATGACTTTTCAGGACCCTTGAGACCTTCGGGGATTTTTGGGTTTGACCTCGCTTCCCCTTTCCTTTCAGCCCAATGGGCGCCTTGCGTCCCCTTCAGGTTCGCCCAGGGTCGAGGCCCTGGGTCCGTGCGGTGCTGTTTCTCGTGGCCAGGCCTCGAAACCTGGAAGTGAGATGGCGGTGCTGGCGCAGCAGAATGAGACCCAAGTGAAGGACCTGGGTTTGAGCATTTTGTGGCATTATACAACTTTGGATAACTTTGGGTGTTTTCTTTGACAAGTAGGGTGGGTTCAACCCTTGTCGTATCTTAGTTGGTCATTTTGACCATCCCTCATATCAGACCATCCCCGGCCCGCCTTCCATGCAACACAAGGAATCTTCAATACCTGTCAATTGAATCACATCCCTCGCAGGAATTGGCTCAGTTGGAAGCTGCCAAAGCCGAGGTCGCCCAGAAGTTGCAGGTCCGTCGCGTAGCGAGGCTGACCATGCGACCGAACAAAATGGATGGTGCAACCAATGCTTCGAACTTCAAAACGATCATCGCTGGTGGTCCGCTGGTAGATGACCGTGGCATGTCGATCCATTGCTTGATACGGTTTGTGGCAACCCTCACGTTCAGAAGGGAAGCCAGTCCGAAATAAAGCTGCGGCTGTTTGGGGCAAGGAAGACAGGACGTGTAGACGCAGGGATCGACGATTGGATTGACGGCTGCAGGAAGGTTTTTTGATAGACACTAAATGCCCCCAAATAGATAGAACAGTAGATTCCCACTAAGACAGAATGTATTGAACAGCGCTTCTGTCTATTTGGGGACCACTATATCTAGACCTCCTTGTGGTGGACCTGTAGGACTCGCAATCTCCAGATATCGGAACGCACCAATCCCGTGTCAAAAATAGAGCCAGAGCGATCTACTGAGGAGACTTGGTGCCATTGGGACTTCCGTCTGACTCCGGACAGACACCACCGAGACACCACCGAGATCGGTCCGTGCCGGCGATGAAGACGTCACGGGCCCGGTGAGCGCAGTGGGGTCAGGACTTGGAAAAGGAACATGCGTCAGCCAAAGAGCGATGTCGAATCTTGGCACTGAGGAGTGATGCTTTCGGTGGGTCTAGCAGAAATGCACTGCCCGGTTCCAAATCTGTGGCTTTGGGAGATAGACAATGTACATGGCAATTTTTTGAAAAGGATGGCTTACTTAATCATGGTCTGTCCCTGCTTGGGGAGGATGGTTGGTATCGCATGGTATCACCCGGGTGGCAGTGACCATGTTTTGACATGTGGGAGGGTCAAGAATGGTCAAGACCATGTTTTGACACTTAAATAACCAAAGTTTGTGGATATTTGTTGAGCCAGTTGAACCTGGCCAGTCTAGACTCTAGACTAGTCAACTCTTTAACCCTTGGATGCCAAGGGTTCAGAGTTTAAACTTTAAGCCCACAGCCTGCTCAGCCTGCTCTGCTCACTGACTCTGAACGCATGTGCTGAGGACTGAGTGAAGCCAAGATCCAAGCTGCTGGCAATGCATCGAGGCATGTGATTATCTTGCTGATGTGTTTCTTTTCTTGTGGTCTATTTTTATGGGGTGTAGTGCATCGAAGATGATCCAAGGGTGTTCTGCCCATTTCAGTCTCTATTTAGGCAGCTGGGCCAAAACAACTCTTCAACGATCAGCTCTTCCAATCTCAAGCAGGTTGAACAGATGGAACGTTCAGCCCGGCAACAGGATCTTTTCTTTTGTGATGTGGATCTCACTTCTGTTCGCCGAGATTGAGACGATGAGTGGACACTCAAGTCACAAGCGTATGGTTCACTTCTCCGTCTCCACTCCGGAGGAGCCAGCTCCGAATTCACGAAGGATTCTTTGTGGCTCCTTTGCGCCGTGAATCTGAAGCTGGTCGAGAGAGTGTGTGGTGCGCCACATCGCAAAATGCCTTGCAGGTGGGGTTTGCCGGGTTGATCTGCAGCACAGGCCTCGTCGAATCTCGTTGATTGCTCACCTCTCTTTTCATCTCGGTTTCAAGCAGCGCTCCCGCTCTGAACGGTTGCAGCTTCTGAATGAAGTTCTCCAACGGTTCGATCCATCCGATCCACCGTGCTGGCTTCGCCTCTCTGAGCGGAAGACCCTCCGAAGCGCTCGGTCCGCGGAGACCCTCAGCCACGGAGACCGATGCGCCGAAGCCCTGTGAGTCGGAAGCCACCAAGCGCCGAAGCTTGTGCATGGTGGAGTCCGTTGGAAAAGGCATCCATACACCGGATTTTGAACATTCTGGAACTGAGCGCCAGGAAGCGTTCGATTTCAAAGACGCGACTCCCAATGAGTGTGGCCTTTGAAAGAGACTCCGGTCCCTTTTCATGTCTTTCATGGAACTGCAACAAGCGCAGTGATTGGGAGTGCACGAGGTCGTCAGTCGACTGTTCGATTGAGACCTTGTGCACGTCGCACTCACTCGCCAGGGCAGCGACCAGGTGACCAGGCGGTTTGTCTTCCGCAAGAGGCAGTAAAGGCAACTCAGACGACTGGCTATCCAGTTTGTCAAAATGGCATGCTGGGAGACAAGGGTAGATGCTCAGTACTCATTCCCAATGAAACAAGTTTGGAGGGAACCTGGTTGTGGCCTTTCCCGTTTGTGGCGTCTGCCCACTTCCACAGCGTTGACCAGGAAATTGGTGCAAGATCTGCAGAAGCTCAAGAGAGAGCATGTTGCACCCCTTCAGGCGAGCGACGCGGCGTATGCGGGGGTGGGCATCAACACAGACTTGGACTGTTGCCTTCAAAAACAGCCATTCCACGGAGCTGGATATACTATAAAAATCTATAAAACATGTTTGAGGAAGGAACACCAGAATTCTGCCCTGGGGAAGTGGGTGTGATTTCAGCATCTGTCGTTGCAAAAGTGGCCGCTCAGGCACTTCTCATGTTGTTGCAGTGCCGAATTCTGTTTGGCTTGAACACGTGCTAGGCTTCCAGGCCGCCCAGGCCGCTGGCTGGACCATGTTGGGACCATGCCTAATTGTTATTGTCTTGTTCTGTGGCCTGCAGTGCTGAGGCCGATGAAACAAAGTGGGATAAGGATAAGGAGGAAGCTGTGCCCCAGTTAACATGTGATGAAAGCCCGACTTCGCCGTGCCCTGCAGAGATCTCAAGCAGTTCATATGAGTGGCACAGTGGCGGGCCCGCACCAAATCCGCAAATCTATCCCTGAAGATTGAAGTGCTGCATGGGTCCAAGAGCATTAGTCTTTGGTTTCGAACAGATTTGGGTGAGCCACCTTTCCATGGTACAAAACTAAGCGTCCCTCCACCACAGTTTCTTCTACGGTGTGATTGGCGGTGAATTTTCGTTTCCTGCAGCCATGGGCCAGTGTTGTTCTCATGAAGGGCCCATCACTGGGTTCACAGGGGCCAGTCATGAGGAGATGCTCAAGGCGGGGCGGCTGGGGGTCACCATAATTCTGGACGTGGGTCTAGTTCACTTCAGTTGACTGCAGGACATGGAGTAGAGCTGCCTGTCAAAGATCTAGAAGATATTTTCAAGTCTTGTGATGTTATGTATTGCTGCATTGCCGCAGGGCCATAGGCAATATTTCGTTCAATTTGCCTGCAGGTTCTCCATCGGCGGGACGCCATCACACCAGGAAACGGAACCACCGAAGACGCCTAAAGCATATTACCCGTTCTTACCTTGGTCCTGTACACATGTCATGGAGAGAGGTTGCCAGAACATGTGTCTTCCAAAAATTACAAGCATCCATCTGCCATGAGGATGGTTAAACGGTTAAACCATGTTAATTCCCTCCAGTAGAGGTAAGCAGAGACGCAGAGACAAGAGCCGACCGTATTTGAGTGACTTAGTCGAGCGTACTCTTCGACCATCTTCGACCTTCGAGCCTTCCCCCAGTCTTCGACCTCGATCGACCGAGTCTGCCTCCAGGCTAGGGGTCCGCAGGGTCCACCGGATCGTCCCACCATCCGTGCTCAGAACTTCGGGGACCTCTCGGAGGATGCGGCCATGGCAGCGGTGGTGGCACGCTTGGCGCAGATCACGGAGGAACATCCCTATCTGAGTTTCGGCGATCTGAGGGGTGCTGGGGGGAAGAATGGTCAGGAGTGCTGGAGGTCCCTGAAACGAGTTGCGAAGGTGACTGTGGTGACTTTAGAACTTTAGGATGCCAAAACAGATGCCTTTGGGTCCGGTCCGGGGTTTTCAGCATTCCGCCTTTGCTGGGCTTTTTGGGATTGAAATGGAGATCTGAACTATAGGGCCTATAGGGTTGGTGGCCAGTGAAGCTGGGGCAATTTGGCGTTCTACAAGCCTGCAGGATCCTCCTGTACCCGGCTGAGATGGGCGAAGGATCTTCAAAGGATCTGCCCGCTCAGGAAAAGGCCAGTTTTCGAGTGTTCAAAGCCAATGTCCTCAAAGTGTGCCCGGATCCACCATTATGGATCCCATGAAGAATCCCGGCATGGCATCCCAATCGGAGCATCGCATGGCCTCCAATCCCGAGGAAGCCCACCGGCACTGAGCCCACACCACACCAGCTCCTCTACTTCGTCCGCAGGCGTGGTCGGTTCGGAATGAGGGGCGGTTTCATCTGCCTAGCTTAGGCAGCGCTAGTGAGTGAGGCATTTTGCCAAGACTTGTGTGAGACTTAGGACATACATGCTGCATGCCTTGTTTACTGCTGTAGTATTGGACATTGAGTAACATGGCATCTAGCCATTCACCAAAAGCCAGCTCAGTTGGGTCATCCATAATCTTCTTCATGATCCGTGGGCGGGAATACTGTTTCTCCCTTTTGCAACCACCTGCTGTGATTTGTTTGGCAACCTTTCTTTACCGTATGAACCCGTATGATAGGGTATGAATACCTGTCACACCCCGACTGAATAACATGGGAAGTGGAAACCACGCTCCCTTGAAAAAAAATATGATTCTCCACCCAGCAGTGGGGTGTTAACCACCAGTGCCCCATGTGCTGCCCATGTGCTGCCCGTGATGTGCTCTCCATCCCCATGCTCTCCATCGTTTTGGTCACCATCAAGTTATGCTCTCCACCAGTGCAGCGTAGGTGTCGCGAGTACATCATTATGCGGAACTCCCAAGAGGCGCTCAGCTGCATCGAACGCATCCAGCGCAGCAGCTCGGCGAAGGACCAGCTGCACCGGCAAGCCCACACGATGTTTTTTTGAATCTTTCACATGTGCTTTTTCGACTCAGAAAGTCTGCCTGGGCCAAGGAGGGGGTTGGTAGGATTTGCCGTCGCAGCTGTCCCAGACACATCATCAACAAAATGGGAAAAGGGATGCACCTTGACGCGCACGAGCTGTTGTTGGCTTGGAAACCAGCTGCCGCTGTGTTTGTGATCCACAAGTGAGGCTCTTAGTTACCCAGGTGCTGCGTGAACTTGGGAATAGTTATACACTGAGAAGTCATATAACCAACTGATGTAGTTTCAAACGAGGATGCTGGACGGAAGTGTTCCATTCAAAAAATTCGACAGTCAGATGCGCACATAGTTGCAGCAAGGTTTTGGACGACAGGCCAGTACACATTTCACGATTCTCAGGACCATGTTATATCTCCCCCAAAGAAGGAGCCACTCCCGAAAGAGTCTTCACGCACTCTAATTGTCCCAGGATTAGGGTGTTCTCAAGTTCTCATGTCGTTTCGGAAAACCTTGGGGCCGAGCCGCCGAGCGCTTTTCGCAGCGAGGCTTAAAATACGAGATTGCACAAATCCGGGATGCCTTCCGGAGGTGGATGGGGCGTGAGTCGTGCATTTCTTCCAAGAGTGGGGTGCGTTTCGGAAGGGACGAGTTGGTCCTGAAACTGGAGGGTTGGTGTTGGTGCCCTAATCCCTAATCTACTCTACGATTGGTAGATCTTGTTGGTGCCCTAATCCCTAATCCCTAATCTAAATTAGGGACTTTGTTCGATGGTTTTGGAATGCCAATGCTCCCTTCTTGATGCTGCCGTAGACCGAAAACGCAGTATCTTGGAAGTTGAACATGCCATGCTCCCTAGTGCACTCCAACACTTTGTCGAGGGGCTTCGCGGTGGTTTGGTGCATCATTCCTACTCTGAGAGCGCTGGGAAATAAGAAAGAAAGCAGCCTTGTTCACAAGTACAACATAGTACAACTAATTATAGTGGTCCCCAAATAGATAGAAACGGTGTCCAATTCTTCTTTTTGAAAGGGATTTTACGTATCTATCTATTTGGGGGTCTCTTTTTTGCATTCTATCGCCTCCTTCATGTCCCATTCACTCGGTCCCAAGGACCGGGGGGGCCGTGCAGGTTTGATCACGATGGCTCCAACTACTTGGATCAGAACGAGTACAAATACCTTTGTGCCTATTTAGGCTGGCGGTGAGGGGGGCAGACTGGGGAGGACAAAAAGGCATAGACGGACAGAGATCTGACCTGGTTTTAAGAGTGGCACTTTTGGACTCTTGCACTGGATATTTTCGTGGCCAAAGACGCAGTTAGTTCACGTGTCAAAGTGGACTTTTGACTTGTCGGGGATGGATATTATGTCCATATGTGACCGGATTTCACCCTGAATGCAGTGAACCAAAGAACAATGAGGCGACGCTGCCAATTGGCTCACCCGCTCACTTGAGAAGGGGCACGGATGACAGGTGTGGCAGCCTTGTTCCCGGCAGATCAGTGTGAGAGGAGCATCAAATCCCAACGCCTGGTATGTATGATGGTTAGGATTCTGCCTCTAATGAGAACATAACTAGCTGAAACGTGCTGGTCTTCGCCTCTTTCATTCGCCTTAAGCATCCTGTCTTGGCTCACAACCGGCCCAAGCGTTCTCCACAAAAGCTGAAGAAGTGGTGTTGCTGCTTGGCAAAATAAACACAGTGCGACCCGGCCATCGCTGTCTTTATCCTGAGTGTGGAAGCCATGACCCCTCAGTATGGCGACCCTTTTAATATGTCAGTGCTGGAACTTCGTGCTGTCCTGCGGATGCATGGCTTCTCCCAAGACGCTTGGATGGAGGAAGATAACCTTTTTTTGAATCTTTTCAGGTGAGGTCCTTCGGCACGACAATTCCTTTCGACTGATCTGTATCACCCAAACACCTTGGTTTGGTCGAATTTTTCATTTTGAGCGGGACTGAGAATATAATGCGGCGAGGACCACCTGCGCTACCTGGGATTTGATACCAAATTCTGCTCGAAGTCACAGCATTTCAGCTAGTTCTGGTAGAATAATTGGCTTGTCCATCCAGGTGCCTGTCCGATAAAGTCCCAACCTTTGCAAGCACTCCTCACAGAAATGGATGGAACACAGTGCCACAACCACCTTTGGCAGGGTGCTGTGGAAAGATAAACACCTATTTTTTTTTTTGGGGGGGAAGAAGATTGTGGGGCAATGTGGGGCAACAAGAGCATCCTTCAGAAATAGAAGCCTCTTGCTTCGTGCGCCCGCAGAGACGCAGGCTGGCTTGCAAAGAGATTTGGCAAGGCGAGCCTTCGATAACAACTTGGTGAATTGGAGGCCCAGACCCCGGCCGACGTGTGACAGCCCTGAGCCGAAGCGGAAGCCGCGGAAGCCGCTCAAGCGAGTGACTGGGTTGAAGAAAAGGGTGGGAAAGATATGGACAAATCAGGACAGATCCTTGGTTTTTGTCTTTGAAGTAGTGAGAACCCGCTCTCAAGTCTCAAGCACTGATTTGCTTTTGGAAGATGGACAAACAATGGACAAAAGTATGGTGAGGTATGGTCTCCCCATTTTGAGACAGGCCCACATCCCCAATGCCAGCCACACAGCCTTTCGTCTCCTTTTCAGATATTCTTGTGTTGCATTTGTGGCTCTTTGAACGGTCTTAAGTAGTACACAGTTTTGCAGCAGTGATGAATATCCAAGCATTTGCGCTGCCGGGTGACCCATCCAAGGTGGTCTCCTCTCCATTCAAGTGAAGCGCGGTAACAGTACCCAGCCACCCAAATAGTTGACCCACCATGTGGCATGTTTGGCCCCCCATCATTGGTAGGTTTTCAAGGACAAGGCACCCCTTCATTTGTGAGCGCCTCGTAGGCGTTCATTGCGGATTTTGGCTTTTGAATCCCTGTTGCTTTTAAGCTTTAAGGCCCCCCCACATGAATCTATATAATATTATACTGTATAATATATATACACACACACACTTCCCCAAGTGGAATATAAAATAGAACACATATAAAGACTATGCTATGAGAGGCCTCTGGGCTTGACACCGCACCAAATTGCGCCAACCCCCTTGAGCTGCGGGTTCCACAATGCAGGAGACCCCAGTGTGGCTCCGCTCGGACGCCTGCCTTGCTGCTCCGCGTCCACGTGCTTTGAGCGATTTGCCCCCTGCGTTTCGTGGCAGCGCTCGGTCAGCCGATGGCTACTTGTTGGATGAAGATGCAGCAGATACAGCCACCCAGGACGGAGCCGACCCAGAGCGTGCATGGGTCTAAATCTGTTCAAATATTCAACTGTCGAAAGCCGCTGCTTCGCACTTGGGATTGGTGGGCCAAGCTGACTAAAGCTATAGTGTCTACTCGTCTTGTAATCATCTTGGCTGCCATTCGCCATGAACGTCGGTATAATAGTTTACAAATCCAAAAAACTCCTTGTTGGTAGCAGTTGGTCTTTTGAGTGAAACATACTGTGCGTTTGCTCCAGAAATTATCACCTTCCCCGCTAGAATTCTAATCTGTGTGTATTACTACAAAACAATTAATACACATTCAATAGATCACACGCACACAAGGATGACTGCGCTTTGACACGCGGTGACATCTGAAGTTTAGCAATCTTTCTTATCAGACAATTCATTCAAAATTTGACGTGTGAAGGGTGGAAGATCTTTTGGTGCAAACATGTGCCAGTGGAGGACTGGTCGACAGACGCGCACGAAATGCGGCCTACGAACAGGACGAGATTGTATTTGATGGAGAAGAGTGTTAAGAAGGGGATGCCTGAGAAGAGAAACAAGATCAAGGAACAGATCCAGAAAGACAAGAGCAAGAATGATGACAAGAAGTGGAAAAAGAAAGAAGAGAAGAGAAGGAAGGACAAGAAAGACAAGAAGAGCAAGAAGGACAAGAAAGACAAGAATGACAAGAAAGACAAGAAGGACAAGAAGCGGAAGAAAGTCGAGAAAGCCAAACATGATTCACATGATGGTCGACCAGACAAGAAGCGCAGAAGATCTATCTAGTCGCCTACAATAAGGAGCTGCAAGACTCGTGGCCCACGTGGGGTGGTTTTTCTCCACTGTGTCTCACGGCGTGGAGAGTCGCCGTGTCTCATCGGCGTAGACGTGATGGCGAAGGCCAGGAACTCCCAGGATGGGATTCTTAGAAGCAACGAAAAAGGCCAGGAACCTCTTCTGCCAGGTGGTCATTCCATGTTGGTCTTCTGCCAGGTGTTGCTGTTTTTGGTCTTCTCCTCGAACTCCAAGCTGTAGAAAAGGATCTGGTTTCTGCAGAGCTGGGAAGGCAATGACCTGCACAAAGTCTTGAAGGAGAATGCAAGCCTCAGGCTGAAGGCAGCACATGTACCGCATCACCAGTGGAGAACAGGATGCGCAGCCGAGAAGACTTGAAAGTTCTACCCAGCAGGACGCGTGAGGGACGGGATGCCCTGTGCCCGTGCATGATATGTGAGATTATTATTGTTCGGTGGTTGAACTCGGGCACAAGGATCTCAATGAGAAGTGGCTGCTGCGAAGTCTATTTGTAAAGTTAATCTGTCCGATAGATCCAAAAGGATCTTGAACACCAAATGCCTCCCTGAGGACTGTCCAAAAATAGTCGCTGGATCAAGCTGAGACTAGCAGTTGCTTCAGGTGAAAAGGCAGATCATGAAGGATCGATTGTTACCGCGCGCAGTTCCTGGATTGCCTGGGTCGCCGCAGTCGAACCCACCAAGCCTTGAAGAGCCAAGCCAATATCTTCACCAGATTCTCCAGACTCACGGAATCAGCAACCGAATCGAGGTTTGTGGACGAACAATTCTAAAGGGATGCTATGCATCGCTACTAGTAGCTTCTTGTTGCTAGTAGCGATGCAGTTGTTACTAGTAGCGATGCGCTTGTTACTAGTAGCTATTTATGCTTTCCAGGATGAACAAAGGAGCGAACATAACACGACTCAAAGATGATCCCCGTAGACTACGACCAAATTCGCCCACCAACGGTAATCACTGCATTAGAGGGTGTAGTTTGACACCTGGGCTCGGTGTGCCGGTTTCCCTCTTCGCCGTTCAGCACAAACCGGAGCATCCCAGCCGTCCTGTGGTTCAACTGCGGTCACGGCTTTCGAAGCGTTTTGCCTGACAGGCTGGGGTGAAGAGGAAGCCCGGCTCATGGATTTGGACGCGGATCAGAAGGTGACCTTCGAGGAGAGGGAGAGCGGCAGGCGCTTCGGTACACGGGGCGACCTTCGGTGGCGGCATGGGGTGTTGAAGTCAATGGCATGTGGAAGGCCAAGAGGCACGTACCTACTATATTTCTTTATACTATATTCTATTATATTATACGATATTTTGTTTTATTGTATCATGTTATACTAACATATTATGTTATTATACTATTATACTATACAATGTATATTGTATACATATTTGGTTGGATGAACTGTGTATGTGATGTTTAGTTTCCATGGCAACTTCTCAGGCTTAAGGCAAATCCCATTGTTTCAGGTTGGTGGCCGGAAACCTGAAGGAAGGGATCAATCGAATTGTTTTTACTGGTGTTTCTCTGCCTCCCTCGCCGATCCCGTTATATATTTGGCCTTCAAATGCTACACCGCTGTTTGGGAGGTTGCTTAGCGTTGAGTCATACCATTCATTGTCACAGCCACAAATGTGTTTGAAATGCGAGGGGCACTCTGCATCCGTGTGGAACTCTCCTTGCACAACGCTCATGGACTTTGAGTTGGGTAGGAAGGGATCCCAATAAATAACTGCCAGCAAAATAATCCAAACACTCTCCAGCTACGCATGGCACTGTTTTGGTCCCTCCGTTTTGCGTGGAAAACATGGCCGATGCTGCTGAGAAGTCTCCAATGTATAGCGGCGAAGTCTCCAACGACTTAGAAGACATCCTAGTCATTGTTCCTAGTCGTTTTCCTCCTTATAGCCTTATAGTGGCCAATAATCTGTCTCTTCCACCTTTAGTGCAACCCTGCCTGTGCCCCTAAAAGGACACTACTTCATGTAGACTAGGTAATCAGTAAAGTGGTTTGCAACTCCATTCCCAGAAGCAAGACACCTGGTTTGTTGTACCTTTGCGGCAATCAGTGGAACAGAGACTCGAAGATCTATGTTACGATGATTCGAAGATCTATATAGGTCACACCGGTCGTTCGCGCAGGAGTTCCAGCTCTTCGTGGGACACATGGGCACCTCGGTCTGTCTGGCAGTCACACGCTGTGACAGGGTCGTCTCGCATGGTGTCTCACGCAGCAAGCTCTAGACCTGGACCTGGTAGAAGACGCGGACCTGGTGGGGGAAGCCCGGGGCTTGTTCTGGAGACCAAGCGAGAGTTGAAACAGATTTGACCCAGGGTACTTCAACTCGGCCTTAAATACTCTCAAAGCACTACTGTAGTAAGAGTGCAAGCATCAACACCGCAGGCCAAGCAAAAGACGTCAGACATCCCTTGCGACCAACGGAACCGGATCCGTCCAGTTCGTAGCTGCCAAGCCGTGCGCAGAGGGTATGGAACGTCAGCTGCGACTGTTGGTATACCCAGTGTATCCAAGTATACTAGGACATGAGCACCACTAATGACACTCATGAGTGCTTGCGAATTCCTATTTGAGTACTGCGCGACCAGTGCGACCCTGACTCTCCTGCCTTTCCTGTCGCCCCGTTGCCCTGTCGCTCGGGTTTGTTCTCCCCAAGGCGGTTTGGCGCAGCTCTTTGAGCATCGGCGGCAAAGGGTGGCCAGCAAAAACTGGGGTGCCACGGATGCAACGCGTGGCAACACCAATTGTAGAGTGCATCGATGCTAGCTGCTACAGGGGGTGCACACCTTTTAAAGGGCTGGATGTTGGCTGGCTCCAGCCCCCACTGAGGAACACGGTCGTTTTCTCCGCACTTGTGTTGGTTCAGGGTCACAGGGGCTCACCAGATCGTCAAACGACCGAAAACAGGTTCTTTACTTTCAGAGTGCTCAGAGTCGTGAACTCTTATGCTATGATTCAGCCAGATTGAAAGGTAATCCAAGGCCCTTCACCGCCCATGCCACATGCTGTGCAGTCTTCAACGCCCATGTAGAGAAGGTGAGGATGCGCCAGCTGTGGTGGAGGTTGGCGCTCGCATTAGAGCCTTCTACTACACGCAGGCCGATTCCCCGCAAGGAATTGAAGTTCGCGCAAGATTGAAGTTCGTGCAAGTGTATCTCTTGGATTCACAAAATTTTCACGAACCCCACAAAGGTGTTTGTCGGCTTCCCCTTTGGTGATATTTTGGGGGGATTTGGATTTGTCTCGATGTGAGTGAGATCCAAAAAGAACGCTTTTCATCGACTTGCCTCACCATCCCCCTTGTGGGATAGCGTGGAGAGGATCTGATCTGACTGGTTGCCCTCCCTCGGCACTCTTCTCTGCTTATTTTGGAGACTGAGATATTCATGAGGTGTTGACTGGGGGGAACATGTCCATGCACTGTGCCTCAATGGCTTATCAGCAGAGCTCAGCCATGCGGATGTCGCCCCTGGTCCGGGTGTGGGGCGTTTTTGGGGATGGCGCAATGGCATAAACTGGTGACACTCAGGGTGGGTCACCCGTTTCTTTCCCGATTTGGGGACGTCCAGTGACCGCAATGGTGGGATTTTTCTCGGGCGCCGTTTGGGTTGGAGCACATCCGACAGAGCGACGTGTTTTGCTGTCACAAGGGGCGGTATCTGGTGAGGACCACAGGAAGAGGAAACGCATGGCCTTGAACGTCAGCGAACACTGCCCTAGACCAGTTGTTGGGATTTCACCAGGATTTCACCAGGGTTTGTAACTCATCCGGTCTATCATGGTCAGAAATCATATCCAAGAGCTTTCATCATCCGGTTTGCTCCTCTTCTTCCTCTTTCATGGGACTGGGATGGACTCAGCTGATACAGATCATGGATTCAGCTCCCTGCTTTTTGAAAGCAACAAGCGTCAGGACGGTAAGAAGTCGTCCACTTGGAGAGAGGCGTGGTGTGCTTACTGAACGAAGGGCCGATGTAGCTGATGTAGCTGAGTGGTCCAAGGAATCCCATTGGGGGCAATCAAGTGGCCAGCTGCATGAAACTGCCTGGTTTCTCTATCAATCCCCAACCTGCCCAAAGAAAAAGCAAAGGGAATGAGAAGAGGAACATGGAAACACCATGCACTAGCTGCAAAAATCACTAGCAAGGATGAAAGACGAAGACACCCAAAAAAGACAATCACAAGAATCAGACAAAAATGAAACTGAAGACTGAAGAAAACAACATCTAAACCTGAAGGAAAACCTGGAAAAAACACTGAAACTGAAGGACACACAGATCTAAAGCAAACATCCGATCATCCGCGGGTTTTCGCTTCGGGTGGTGGACCATCCAGGCGCAAGTCCTGGAGCTCAATGTCATGCCGGAGAACGGCGTGAGGCGCCTGGCGGTGGTGCAGTGGATGCGTTGCCAATTGAATCCAATTGACTGGTTGTTTTTAGGTGGTTTTGATGAATAATCGAGGCGTTTTTTTGCACGGTCGGTTGCTTGGTTGGTTGGGCACAGACTTTTGAACACAGCTGGGTGGGTGCGAGATGAAGGGTCCGGCGTCAACGTGTGGACTTTGTGTTGTCGCAGCAAGCTGTTGATGCCCAAATGGGAAGTTCTTTCAGCAAGTTGTTCGTAGTGGAACATAGTGGAATAGATGGGGCGCAACCCTGTTTGGTTTGCGCTTGATTGTTGTACAATTTGTTGTATTTCTATAGGTTGTCCAGTCAACCTGAAGCTGCGCAGTCAACTCATCAGGTTGCTCCGTCAGGTCGCTCATTGGTAGAAGGAAGAAGATGGGTGTGTATTTAATTTTTAATAGGGAGACGCCCCTGGCCCAATGAGTGCTTGCAGGAAGGCTTTGGGAGGTCTCCGTATTGTAAGACACCCATATATGTTTTTGATGCAACCCTCCTTCAAGCCAGTCACTTAGAGAAGGTGCACAGAGGATGTGAGCGACGTCCGCAGACACCGAACCTGAGGCCTCTGAACAAATCTGCAGGACTTAGAGGTTTTGATGACGCACGAACAGTTCATGAAACCCAAACTATGAAACCCAACAGTTCATGCCTTTGAAACCCACTGTTGTTTTTTTCTCTGAAACCAAACAGTTTTTGTGGGGGCTAACCTGCTACCGACCTTTGCAGCTGCTCTTGGCAGTTTCAAGCGCCTTCGCTGGTCGGTCACGTGACAGGCTGCTCTTTGGTTTCGGAGAGGAGTCGGATGGCAAGGCCGAACGTCAGGCGGGTGACTTCGAGGATGAACAGGAAGCTTCATCCAAAAGCACCAGTATATACATATTATATATATATATAGACATTAATCATTATATATAGTGTAAAAGCAATGAGCCTAAATGGATCCCAGTTGGATCTAGAATTTTTGGGTGTGTATTCTCGCGTATTCTTCATCCTTACTTACCCTGAAGATCCCTAAAGTATTTCGGACTAACTTGGGGCTGGTCCCCACCGGACCGTTGCCGGACCGCAAAAAAACCCGCGTCGCCCGTTTCGTGGTGCCACTTCGGTTCAACCGGGGCGTCACAGGTGGTGCCTCCCAGCTGGATCTTCTACGACTCCCGCGATAGCGAGGTGGTGGCGGCACTGCGGGAGGCTGAAGACGTAGACGGCTGAGTCGGTGGCTTTTTTCGGGGTTGGAGGAAGGGAGGCCGTAGAGGTGGCTTCAAATACTTTGGAACTCATTGGGGGAATGCCTTCAGGCGCCGAGGCGCATCTCGATATGATGAACCGATGTCGTCTGAGACAAAGCCAGTTGTGAAGCGCTGAGAAAAGCGTCAGTAGAACGGCTGGCTGGGCAGGATTTGATCAATCCATATTGCTAATGCATGGGTTTGATCCAGATCTCCACATTTGTCCAAACCTGCCTTCGAACCCCAAAAGGAACCCTCCTTCGACAGAATTTCTGTGTCGGGCAGCAGACCTTTTCCTGTTTAAACGTTTAAAGTTTGAAGTAATTGGGGACAGTGATTCTTCCAGAACACGTTACAAGTCCTCCATGATGGAATGGTTGTTTTAAGGGATGTTTTGTACTGTCCAGTTTAGTTTAGACAGTGATTCCCGAAGCCTAAAGTGGAGTAAGGTCGGTACGACGGTCTGCATGATGGATGAGGCTTTGCCTCAGCCTACTAGGGGCTACGAACAGATTGTTTTTCTACCTCAATGTGCTGGTACCATGCAGGGTGAACATCGACTTCACAACTCCTGCCTTTGCTAAAATTCACTGGGGGTGTGGCCATCGATTTTCATAGCTTGTGTCAGTGAAACATGGACTCTCCAAACCGGCCCCTAACCACCTAGCCCCCCAGAAAGGGCAGGGATCCCCAGCTCGCACCCCATCTCGGGGACTCCAAGTGCTTTGTCGGTGGATAGGTTGGGATCCTGGAGGAGCAGCAAGCCTTTTGGGCTTCGATCTTCCCACAATCTGAGATGCGTGCAGCCGCATGCCAGGATTGGGACAGGTCGTGATGGATTTGCATGGGTGTTTGGGGGAGAAGGATTTGCATGGGTGTTTGAAGAAAAGAAGAGCGTGAAACAAATCAAGAATGATGCGGTGATTTTTACTGGACCACATAGCGGGGAGTTTGTGACATATAGTGTTAGCTGTTTTACTCTATGCAACACTCCAATGACTCAAATAGGTAGCCTAGTTCGGCGTGCTGCATGTGAACTCATAATGATTCCTTAATCACAATCATAACACTCCGTGTCAGCACATGTCAGCACTCAATTTGACAGTAGATGTCCAAGATGGCACAGCATGGTCCCCACCTGACTGATAATGATTCCATGAATCTGGTAAAAACGGGAAAGAGGTCCTCACCTGTCTCTCCAGTCTTGTGAGGTTCACATGGTTGGCCTAGCTTCCTCGGGACAGTTCTGGAAGATCAATGCCCCCCAAAACAGGGCCGCTGGAGTCGAGTCTCCAAATCCATCTCTAAGGCCTCGGACAACGGGAGTAATTAATCCCACACCCGATAATTCTACCAGAGAGGTGTCTTCATGTTTCATGACCCGACGCACCAAGCCGGTACAAATTCAATAGAGAGAAATTAAAAGGACTCTGCTGCAGACGTGAAAGCCAGAGCTAGCACCACGGAGTCCACCTGCCCCTTCTCGCAACCGACTTTCCCGTCCTCCCTGCCATGGCCGAGGTGGCGTCCCTGGTGCCGTGCCAGCACAAGGCCTTGGCGCATGTGCGGGCCAATGCAGCGATGAACCACGAGAAGGCGCCACGTTCCGAGTGAGACACTCGTGGGGCGAAGGATTTGGCCTCATGGACCTCATGGACATGTTGCTAATACAGCTGGTTTCTTCCTCAATGTGATCTCCCTCAATGTGACTTGCAGCTGGAATGTGCTCCTCCCTACCTGGTATACGAATATGGCTTGTCCACTGTGGGCAGGTTGTGAGAAGCCGGGCTGTGATACATTCTTCGCACCCCTCGTGGTCACGGAGCCCCACCGAGCCCAAACCAGAATCAATTTGCAATAATTTTAGCACTTTTTCATAAAGGACATTTGGCTGTTAAGTAGGTCTCAACCAGCGTCCCAACCGTATTTCCTAGCAACTAACCAACCTATCAACATCTATCAATCCTCAAAGTCTTCCTTTACCTTGACACTTGTACTCATGAATCAATCCTCCAGGCTTTTCGACTCGTCCCGGTCTTCCTGTCCCTACCGGGTGCAGGCGCTACCAGAGGTGCGGGAGCGCTTTGCAGAGCTGGGCTACGGGGAAGAACAACTGCAGGCAGTGCTGGGCTGGATTCAGGACATCCCGAGATCAGGGGAGAAGGAGGGCGAAGGAGGGAAGGCAAGAAAAGGCAACCAGGGTCATCCAGGGTCGATGGGCGAGGTTCTTTTACTGTTGATGAGATTTTTTGGACTCTATGGCTATGTGCGGACTGAAGTCGAGGAGGAGCCCAAATGGCAGGAGCCAGCAGAGTTTGTTGGACTTTCTACTAGATTCTACTCTCACTCTGCGAAATCGTAAGGCTGGAGCTTAAGACTTCTACTAAAGGCTTTAGACCAGCGTCTACGGTTGATTTCCTCGCGCATGGAATAGCCTTTGTTCACTTGGTTTTTGACAAAGTTCTTGTGGATCCTTGTGGCCAAAAACCCATCGGTTCACCGTCCTGAGTCCTGAGCAACAACAATTAGTTAGGGTCAACACACATGTTTTTACTTTGCCAGTGCTAGTTTTGCTTCATCCCCATAATATATAACTTCAATTGTGTGCATTGATGATTTAGGTGCATGGTGAAGCAACTCACATTTATATACAGTACATAGTCATGACCAAACTTTGCACGATGGCTGTGGGATCACTGAGCTGTCTAGCTTTACATGAACTGTGTAGACTAGGCTATCCCTTTTTGGGGCGAGCGACTAGCGGTCTCTATTTCACACTGATGAAGGCCAGGGGTCAGCTTTGCATTCCAGAGTAGGGAGGCCAGGGGCTGCCCGGGCCTGGTTTGAAAACTTCTATTTTCAGCGTAATCTGTAACTAGAACAGACGGCAAATTGGATATTCTGGTCAGGCCTGGAATACGGTTGCATCGATTCCTCCCTTGAAGCGCTTGAAGCGCTATGGACCAAGTCCGTGAACAATGAGTCTGTTCAAGGATGCACATGCTGAAACTGTGCAAGGTACCCAGACAGCACAGTTGATTGTGCCACGTGCCTGGAAGATGAATTCCATTGGTGCTTGTTAGTCAGTGGCCCTCTGGTGCAGACAACGGTGCGACCGTCGAGCTTCGACGCTGCGTGGGTGAAGGCCTGCGCCTCACCGACAGGACCTGGCGCCGATGTGCATCCACGTGCACATTGACAACGTGGGCCGGTTCCTTGAAACAGTTTCTGGGCCTCAGACAGGTGGGTCACATGGGTGCAAGGATTGGGCGAAGGATGGAGGCAAATACCCAATATGATATATACATGTAATATACATATAATTATTGATTTCAAATTTTGCTTTGTTCCCTAGAAGGAGGCATGGAAGCTTGATTTACAAGCCTTTGGTCTCATGTGGAGCGCCTCAGTCACGACGCTGTGGGGGTTGTCGTTGTGAGAACCATCTTAAAAAGAACCAAAAAATCTGGCTTGGCTGGGGCTCTGCGACTCCAACCATCTGGCTGCGTCCACCAGGAGGTGTGCAGACCCCAAACAGGAACCACACTCCTCGCCAGCAGGCACAAGCCACTCCCTTCTGAAACCGGCGGTGAAACTTATGTTTTCTTTTGCTCAATTTCATTTATCATGTGCAGTTGCTGCGGTGGGGAAAAGGGATTGACAATGCCTCCTCTTCTCACGGGACTCCAAGCATTAAGTTTTGCAGCGACTGTTGTGCACGATCGAGACCCAATACAGAACTGCTGGGTATGGGAAAGAACAAAGTTTCGAACATACAACATGTGTTTTTGACACCCTTCATGTCCAGATTTGAGGGACTTTGCACTTTGCACTCTGCACTTTGCAAACCCATCGCCCAAACACTACCATTTTAACTTTAGGAATTCAGTACTGTTTGCATCGTTTTCACAATGAACACCACGAGGGGGGAAATTTGTCTGCCTTTGATGACATGTCCGAGGACGAATTCTACCGCAACCAGTTCGAGACGGGAACTTCTTGTGGCGCCCTTGATGATGGCAACATCATCCGAAAGGCTAGATTGATTGAACATGGACCAGAACACATCGGTTCCATTCGGTTTTCGGGGTCGGTTGTTTACACTGGTTTTCGCAAAGTTCATTCTCATCCCATACCTGCAGGGGTGTTGTGATATATGTTTCGTTTGAAACACCCACATTTCATCATTTCAGCTGCAGTTGTGGATCTGTGGGGGATACCTTTTGGATTCCTTGCCGTTCCTTGCCCGTGGCCCACCCGGCGAGACGAGACTGGGAGAGTTTTGGTGTTGGATCGTGCCGAAGCGGAAGGCCATTCCACCAGGTGCAGTTGTGGTGTTTGATGGTGTCTTCTTCTTCGTTCTTTTTCTTTTTTCTCTGGCAAGTGGTCCGACAGTTTGCTCATGACTTTTCTATGATGATGATGGTGATGGTGGTGATGATGATGATGATGATTCTTCATATTCCCAGTTCCCCAAAGAGGACCTTTTCACCCTGTCTGACAGGGCTGGGAGAAGGAGCTCTTTGGGGGTTGCTATGATGACTCGAAGCCCTTCGAGCGTTGCAAGTACGGAGCCTTGAGCGCCTCTTGGCGGGAGGACGAAAGTCGGACTCTCTCGCCGGAGTTTCGGGGGACCAGGTAGCCTTCGACTCGTCGCTGGGGTTTTTGACATGGGATGACGTGATATGACATGCTATTAACCTGCCCCCCCCGGGTTTGACAAGTTTCCTTTGCGGCTTCAAGTGAGCGCGAACTGAATTGGGTGGATGTGTTTTTGGAGATTTTTGGAAACTGCTTGGTGGCATTTTCAACTTTTGGGGGGGTGCCTCAGCACGTGCTTGGGGTATTACACCCTGCGGGTTGTTCCGCCGGCCTTTTCAGCCAATGGTCCCAAGATGCGGATTACCTTTTGCGTCAAGAGGAAAGACTGCAACAGAGCAGAAAAAGTAACAGCATCATCCAGAACACAGCTGGAGCAACAGAGGAGCCTACATGAAATGATGTGCATTATGATACAATAAGAGAACAGGGAGATGAAATTGGGGGATGCAAAGTATAGCCTGCCAAGCAAGAAGACAAATTATATGACATGTGACACAATGAGCGAAGTAGACCGTGCGAAGCAGCAAACGTACATAGCACTCCGTCAGACATGATACAAGAGAGTAATGAGGACATGTGTGGCATGGGGATTTCCAAGCAGTCTGAGTCTGCAAAAAACGATAGATACGTGAGTGCAGGTGCAAAACCTGAGAAAAACGCATGCAAAGCAGAAGCGCCATGCATGGACAACGACAAGAGAAGAACGACGAGAAGAAGGAAGCGCGCACAACCTTTCACTTTAGCTATGATATATGTGAGCTACATACATTCGGGATGTTCTTGGGGGGGGAGGGCGGGG